TTTATTATCCTCTCTTTATAAGCATTTCATAAAGATATTTGAAACCTTTAGGATGGTCAAACCAACAGCAGCAATTAGCTACACCAAGCAGATGTGCTGACTTGGGAACCATGCCACCCGAGTCTCTTCTCCGGGACTGTACTCTCCTTTCCTGTGACTAGGGGAGGAAACACAACTTTTACGTAGGCAGCCCACCAATATACATGCTGTTTACATCCTGCATCCCTCACAACAGCTCCCAGTTTGGCAATTCACACGGGAAAAATTAACTGGCCTTGACTCACATTAAATGAGTATCCACCAGCAAATACCAGGGACTTTCTCTGGGGCTTTTCCATGCACAGAAATTGCTTTCCCAAGAGAAAGGAAATCCATTTCTTTATAAGCAGTGGCCGTAACCCTGTACTTACAATACCTAAATACAGTGCCTGCTCAACAACAGCACCTTCTGTTTAAAACGCTGGATGTTGTTTCAGCCAGGCAAGAAAAACCACATTACAGCCCCATTCACCAGCAAAACAGCTGCCTGGAGAAGTTTTCTAAAAAGCCCCAGGTGACATGGGAAGACACAGCAAGGACTGGGCCTGCAGCAAACACCCCCTCCGGCACTCCCATAGATGCTTTCATTTCCTTTCTGCTTTTGGGTAAGGCTGATATTTGGTTCCTGGTGATTTTAAGCAATCCTGGGTAATTGAATCCGAGTGTTCATCATCACAGATGTACCAGAGGAACAGCACATCAGGGAGGAAACGAATGACTGCAGCATCCTGTACATCAAAACCCAAAAAAGCAGCAAAGGAACACAAATCACCCAAAATTTAAGCGGGCCAACACTCCACGGCCAAACTTTACTTCCATTTACAGTATTTTTTAATTATTTTAAGTAAAAAACACAGCTGGCAAACCACCACACCACTGACATTCATGGCTGATGAGATCTGCTTTGCTAAGCCAGAATAAAAGAAAATTCCGAGAGAGAAACCCACTCGCCGTTCCCCACACAATACAGCATGTGTTCAGCCGGAATACCAGGAGCACACTGCCCAGTGCCAGCCTTCCCGAGAGCAAACGCCATCAGCTCCCATCCTTCCCCTTCCCATAGCCTCCGTCCTGCTTACCGCCCTCTCTCCCTCCCTGAGCAAACCATCTCCCCAGCAGAGCTGACAAACAGAAGCCCTTGGCTATAAACAAGGGCAGCGCATTGAAAATCCAGAGCGAGCAACTACAAAGAGTAAATAAAATCCTCAGGCTGCTTGAAAAGGGGCTTTGTCCTCCACGGACACTCAGAGAAACATATCAGAAGGGCTCTTTTTCTCCTACCAGATTAATGATTGCATCCCACCCGCAAGGGCCCTTGCCAACGGAAAATGCGGGGTAGGCAATATGCACAGCCCTTCACAATGATATGCTGCAAGAAAAGGGTTTGAAAGATAATGCAACAAATTTCCCCTTTCCAAAAATTGCACCTGTGGAATAGCTGCTATGGAGTAACAGAGGAAACTTCGGGAACCTAAACCAATTGATTTGTCTGCTAAAAAAAAATATAAGATTCCCAGGATCCAAAAAAGTCTGAATTACACCCAAGCACTTTGCTTTTCAATTTTTCTTCATCCTTAAATCATAGCTTTAATCAGACACCTACTATCAAACCTGGTGGATCTAAACCTCTTCTGCCGCGCAAACATGCCAAAAGCTTTATGTTCCTACCTTATAAACACGGTGTCTACTAAGGCAGAAACACAGCCCAGCAAAACGAGCTTAAGAGCATCTCATACATCGGTACAGCCTGGAGCCAACATAGCCAGACAGCATCACGCTACTATCCCGGAGCCTGAAAAACCACGTTTTAGAATCACACAGTCCTTACAAAGAGCCCCAGGAGCTCCTTCCAGCACAGGGGGTGCCTGGTTAGGGTGAATCTGCCGTTATTTGAGGCGTCAGCAGTGACAGCACGGACCCATCCTCCGAGACTTTGTTACTTTTAGGAGACAGCACATGGCTTTTAGCACACCTGGCTAAGGACAACAAGTGTGCCACACCTTTAAGTTTTAAAGCATTACAGTATCTCGGAAAAGGAATTACTCTGTACACTGATCACCGGCTGTGTAGGGCAAAGGCTTTATTTGCCCAGCTCCCCTGGGGCGAAAAGCAGTATTTAATACACGCATAAACAATTTTTATCAGCCAAACTTTCAACCCTTACAGGTCCCCATCCGCCAAAACTAGTTTGCCGGTGCCTCGGGAAGGCCGAGGAGCTGCACCCACATACACAGGTGTGCCACCCGCGGCTCCGCGACGGAACCATTAATTATTGCAAAACCCCGGTGCCTTGCGCAGGAGGGACCCCGAAGGACTCCGCGCTCCCGCGAAAGCCGAGCACGGGACCTACGGCTGCTCCCCACGGACGCCCCGGGACCACCGCAAGCTTGCACAACCCCAAACCGGGGGCGGCAGCCGCTCTCCGCCCGCCGCACACACAGACGCAACCCCCGCCTGGGCAGCCGCCGCTCTCACCCAGAAGGTGGTGGAGTAGGTGATGAGGGTGAGCTTGAGGCAGAGGTAGGACAGCCTCCCGCAGTACCGCACTTGCTCCGCGTCGCCCGCCGCCATCCTCCCGCCCCGCCGCACCTGCCGCCGCCCGTCCCCTCCCCTTCCCGGCGGCCCGTGCCCGGCGGAAGGGAGCGGCCGCCCCGTCGGGCGGGTCCGGGGGCGCCGCTGCTTCCGGGAGCGGGACCGGCTCGGGGGCTGTGGGGATGAGTGCCTGGGGATGCGGAGGGTGGTAGCAGAGCGCACGGCCGAGAAACACAAAGAACACGGGGCGGGGGGGAGAGGGAGGATGTCGGAAGCTGAATGAAAAGCTCCGGAGCGCTCCCGGCTGCGGCTTTTTATTTTTTCTTTGTTTAGCCGTTCCCTTGGCAAACGCCGCTCTGCCGAGGGGCTGCGGCTTCGGGACTAACCCCACAGCCGGAGTCGTCATAAAAAATTGTGTCGCTACGCAAACAGCCACCTCACAGTGCTGCCGGAGCGGCTCACGCATCCAGAGACCTCGGCAATTGCCAGGGAAAAACGCGTGGACAGAAACACAGAGGCTGGGTTTTTGGTTAAGCGTACATAAACAGTGCAAAGCAGAATCCCTACACTTTACAGGGGCACGATTAAGCAGTACCAGAGCGTTTACCTTTAATTACAACACCCAGGCAATTGCGTGTGCAATGAGGGTCCCATCCTGCAAGTAACACAGCAGAAGTGCAACAGTTAATGGGCATATCGGGCTGGCCCCATTTTCTGCCTATGCCGGCGTTTATCCACATGCCTCTGCCGTGACAGTGGGCCAGTGTTGGGTCTTACACAGCGATCATGAACTGCAAACACCATTCATGCCTACGAGATGAAATAACCCCTTTCAAGCTGGCAGTGCTGCACTCCTGCCCCACAAAGGGCTATTTTCCTCAGGGAAAAAAAAGTCTCATTCAAAGTGGCAGACAACTGTCACAGAGTTGGTTGTTGCATCCTGGCCCAGAGCAGACAGACAGCATTGAAAATCAGTGTCTGGTATCTGAGAAGATGAAGTGCAGCGGCATTTATTCTTAAATTACTCGGCAAAGAGATTGTGGAAAACCTCAGAGCTGTATATGTAAAAGTGGTCAGTCACACAACATTTCATTAGGTACGTATCATATAATAGCAGTTGGTGCCAAAACCTCTCTTATAAAGCCTAAAGTATATTCCTAGATAATTCTGTTACAAAAAGTGCCATTGCTTTTGCATGTGGTGCTAAATTCTGCTTCTGGGAAAAAAAGAATCCCGCCCAGGGCCCTGCCCGCAACAGAACAGCTCCTCACCTCTTAGGTTTCTGGCAATAACGCATGATACAATGTCCTAGGGCATTCATCTTCTAAAATATCAACAACTTAAATTTTCAGACAAATTTGCAAATATCTACCAGTAGCATGCAGGCTGGAAATCACATCACTTAAGTGCAGGGAATTAGTGTCCGCTGCGCATTCTTTATGTCTCTTGGGCGTTGTTCACATCCAAGTGTGTTCCTGTCATTTATGCATTTTCCTTGTTTATGCATTTAACTAAGTTAATAGTTTTGGTTTGATTTTCCTAATGTTTCACCTTGTCATTTGTGCTGTGATTTCTGCAAATAAAATTTCAGGGTAAAACCAGCTGGATGCAGAAGTCGATTAAAAGGAGTGTCCATTTTCCTGATATTGTCACTCTGAACTGAGGCAATACATAAAAACAGGTTCCTGTTACAAAGCCATATGAATATAATTGAACAATCCTTTGCCTGAATCCCAGATTTTGTCTAGACAGTGAAATGGCAAGATTTCTGGACACAATTAGTATAGTTTAGCAGCAAAGAGTTGTTTAAAGTGAGATGTTATGAATTGCCTGCAGTGCTGGTGGTCCTCTCCACCTCAGCCCCAAGCAGCACAGAGCTGCAATTTTCCAACCAAGAGTATGGCATCTCTACCAGCATCCAGACAGATCATGTATTACATGATCCCAAGACCATCCAATGGCTCAAATTCCATGGCTTGGAATTCCATTGCTTGGTTGTTGCAAGTGTGTACAAGGCTTGGTAGATCCCATGAACAAAAGCAGAGTCTGCAGAGCACTTGGCCCCGGTCTTTAGGAAATCTGCAGAGAAGTGAACCTGCAGCTAGCCCTGCACCAAAGAGTATCAGGATGACCCTGTGCATTTTAGAGCAGCCAGCAGCATTTTTGCTGCTTTCTTCCATCCCAAGCCTGGCTGATCAAGCTGCAGTCTGGCTGCGCATTGCCCCACCCAAGGTGAACGCTGATGGTCCTCACATCCCTTTCTCAGATCTGTTCCTTAGACAAAGATCCTTCCTCCCAAAGCAGAGCCCAGCATGCAATACTGTTAAAGCCTCTACTGCCCGAGTTACCTTGTATTGTTTTTCCAAAACACAAAATGCACTTTATGCGCCCTCCTGACCTTCCAGACCTGCATCTTTTGTTTGCATCTCTCACCCTGTGCCCGGTACTGGGATCAGTGACTCAGCATGGCCTCAAACAATCCTGCCAGTAACAAGAACAGTGAAACCAGCCAAACCCAACCACTGCTCTCAGATAGTCCCTTTCCCTGGTATAACTCCAAAATCATTGGAGAGGCAAGTTTTGCAATAGTCCCAGGCAAGTGTGGCTTTTCTGAGGTATTTGTAGCCTGATTTTGTGAAAAATCATTTCATTTTGCAAGTGAAAAGGCCAACAGCACACGCTAAACTGCTGGCCTGGCTCCAGGATGATAACCTTGCTAATGCACAACCAGCAAATGAATAAAAGGTGTGGGTGTGTATAAACAAAAGCAAGTCTCTGCTGACTTATATGAGGAAATGTTGACCAAAGGGTGCCTGCTCTCCGACTAACACCCAAGTAACAGATCATTGACCAGGGCAGACAGTTGGGTTGAAGGTTCCTAGGAAACAGGGGCACCCTGATCATCTTCAGAGTCAGCTGAGAGAGGTTGTGTTTCACCACTGAAACATCAAAAAGTACAGCTGTTTTTCTAAGCACTTGCTAATGTCCCACTTTCTATAACGAAGACTGATAAAGCACTTTAGCTGCATTCTCAGCTAAACAGCTGGATGCTTTTGCTCATATTCTCCTTGGAACTTGAAGAGATTTGAGAGAGATTAAAAAAATATAATAATCTGAAGAACACTATTAGATGTTAAATTTGTATTGCAAATCATGAACAGCTCTCCTGGACTGTATACAGAAAATGGAAGGTTCATAAGCTGTTTAATGAGGTGTCAGTGGAAGACTTTCAAAAAGAGCCTGAAACTCTTTGCAGTGCATATGAGAAGACACGTACAAGGGTATTTTTGCAGTTTCTGGGTAGGGAAGTGGGTTGGGATTACCTGCAAGGAAGTCCACCATGATGAGAAGGAGATACTGTATGTAGTACTACAGGTATTAATTTCTAAAAACCAAAGCTGGGGTAATACAGTATCAGAGAAGATCTGCTTTAAAGAGTTGCAGAGTTAGGTGGTGGGTTAACTGAAGACTGCCTCCAGAAATTAATGAAGCAAGGAAAGAGTCCAGGCTGAGCTGGTGGAAAAGATCCTGAACTGATAAATACTGCCCTGCTGCTGGGGTGCCTGGCACAGCTGCAGCGCCAGCAACTACCAGAGCTGGAAAACTACTGCCATCCAAGGGCCGTGCACACAGGGGGAGTTTTTCATTTATGTTACTTTCTGAATCCTGAAAACAGGTTTTAATATCTGAAACATTTTCAGCTTCTAGCAGAGCAGGCACAAGCCGGTGCCAAGTACTCTTTGAAATCTCAGCCTTGACGTGTTGCTTATATTTATGTTCTTTACGCGAAGCTGACAGCAAGCAAGAGCACTGTGCTCTGAGCAGAGAAGGGAGCCAGGGGTTCCACTTTCCCATGAGGATCAGATACTCCTTCTTGCATGCATGAGGTCAGTAAGTTTCTACAGCACAGTCCTGGAAAGGGGATGGAGTGGTATGAAGGGGCAATGCCCCTTATTAAGCCCCTCAGCAACACAGGGCATGGAGTCTGGGAGCTGAGGCTTCTCTGGATGTTTCTATGCTGGACAGCAGCTGGAGAAGGATTTCTGGAGCTTTTGGTGAAATCCTGGGTGCCAGATTCCCACTGAAGCCTTACTAGAAGTCCCAGCTCACAAATGCCTCTATCTTGGCATTATTCACCAGTGACCCTTCAAGCACTAACAGGACATGTTGCTGTAATTTAAATAAATTAAATCATACCAAATCTACTAAATATGGCTGGTCGAGACCTAAGGCAGTCGCCATTAAGCAAAATCTATTAAAAATATGAATAAGCCTCCAACTCATTGCAGACAGCAAGACCATCTTGCTAAAACTGTGCTGAATGTATTTTGTTTCATTCTTAGGTGTGCAGAGAGCTTGCAGGAAGCCAGGGTCATGGAAATACAAGGATTGCAGGACTGATAAACCTGGCAAAGTACCTACCCTTGCATTTAAGTCTGTAAAATCCTGGCAGAGCAGCATGTCCATTTCAGAGGTTATTTCAAAACAAGCTGGGGGGAGGGAGGGGAGGAGAGGGAAGCTTTAAGTACCATTTTGCCATGTTTCATTTGATGTCAAATCAGGTGTTTAGTTTTAGCCTGCAAGAGACTCCACCTCCTTTCAAAAGTCCCCTTAAACCCTGCAGAGAATTTATCCCAGCACAGCTCCTGCCTCACCCGTAACAGTTAGATCGGCAAAGAAAACCAAATGTCCTCCGTCCCGCTGAAGAGGATCAAATACCTGGTGCCTTGGAAAACCACTGCTCTCAAAAAGAAGGATTTCCACTTGGATTGAAGTTTTTTCTGGCTTGATATTTCCTTTTACATTTTCTTGGCCCTACAAATAATCTAAAGGAAGAGAGCTGTTCTTTAGTTTTTGCTCTTCAAGCATAGGTTAAAATGCCAGGCAAGGAAGAGTCCCTCGGTACCACTCATCTCCTGAAACTACATTGCATCATTTGGAAAACAGGACGAGAGGACATGAGACATCTCATCCCAATGTCTGTTTAATGGCACTTAGGTCATATGCACGGGGGTTCATAATACCAGCGTCTACTGCAAGAAAATGAGCAGATGCCGGAAGATTTCATTTTATGCTTAGCTGAAGAAAAAAAAGAACATGAGCACATTTTCCATTTTAAATGCTAGCAACATGTCACAAGCTGACTCCCTTGAGGACAGCAGCAATTGGACAGCAGTAACCCAGTTTACCCAGCCAGGCTGGCGAATTGCTTTGTGGGCTATCACCTATTCCTTCATTGTCATCACATCCATCGTTGGCAACATCACCATCATCTGGATTATTCTTGCACACAGGAGAATGAGGACCGCTACCAATTACTTTATTGTTAATTTGGCTCTTTCGGATTTGCTGATGTCCACTTTCAATACCATCTTCAACTTTATTTATGCCAGTCACAACGTCTGGTATTTTGGTGAGGAATTCTGCAGGTTTCAGAACTGGTTTCCCATCACCGCAATGTTTGTGAGCATTTATTCCATGACAGCCGTGGCTGCAGAGAGGTAAGAGGCGAATGGAGAAGATAAGATTCAAAAAATCCACTGTAAGCTGTAAAAAATTCTCACAATACTTTGTGCAATTGTCCTACTCTATCAGGTGCCTTATCAACAAGGTGGGAGGAGGGCCAAGCAAACAGACTGGGGGGTTAGATCCTAGTTATGGTGTGAAAGGCAGGCTCTTCTGGTTTGTCCCTGGTCTGAATCACACTCAAATGCGTAACAAGTGGAAGTGGATGGTGTTTTGTTGTTCCCACATTATGATCACAAATTCTTTCCCAGTCATCCTGCAAACCATTTTATTTATTTTTTTTTTAAACCATGAGAAGGACCCATCATTTGGACAGAGCTGGAGTGATAGGAATATATTAGAGTGCTGAATGTATCAGCATCCAAGATTCTGCTTGTGAGTCCAGCAAACCACCAGAAATAATGGGAATTGGATCTGAAATGTCAGTCTGCTCCAAGAGTTCACAAGAATGACTTATTCCAAGAGGGAGGAAAGTAATTACAATGATTTTGTTTGACTTCTGAAGTAATTTGGCATTTTCATCACGCTCTTTTACATCTGCCAAGTCTGTTTTACTCAAGCTTAAATTTGTGGAGTCTGAATGTGTTTACAGTCCATTGTTAAGCAGCCTGATGCTGTTTTTCTTTTTACTAGAAAGAGGCCAAAAGTCCATGGGAATTTCCTCTTTTAAAGGCAATGGCATGTGAAAGAAGTTGAGGAGGTTAAGCTCCCTTCTAGGCTCTCTGCCCTCCTTCCCCTTATCCTTCCTGTCTGTCCATTACTTCCACTCTCTGCCTGATGCTGGAAACATCTGTATCTTTCCCATCCTATGTCTCTGCTTAACCTGACAGCAAAGGTCTTCCCTGGGGCAGCCTAATACTGAATCTAGAAAACTTGTCAGTCCTTTATCAAGCCCTCCTGTTGACTTTGCAGTTTTCTTCAGGTTTCCCCCATTCCTTATCAAGGATGTGAACCACAGAAGGCCCTCCAGGCTCCCTCAGGAGCAGAGCCAGCATCCCTCTGGAGCTATGCAAAAAGCGTTGCTCCGTGAGTCATTGGGGTCACGTTCGTAACTTCTGTCCTGCTCACAGCTTGGCTCACCCCGGCACGCCCAGCTGCAGGAAGCAATCGATAGACAAATCAAACCAGATAAACAAACTAGCAGGAGAAAGGTGGCTTTGCCCTGTGTGCCTGTGACACCTACTGCGACCCACACTGGAGCTGGGGATATGGCACAGCACAGAGTAGTGGCTTCTGTGGTTACTGGAAGGATTGCTAATAAGAACAGGGATGAGTGATACGTTTATCAGCCTGCAGTTGTCCAGATGAAAGCAAATCCCCGTTTAGAAGTAATGACAGCTCAGTTTCAGACTCAACTACTCTTTTGCTGTTCCTTTTAGTAATGAGTTCCTGGTAACTGCTATTTTATACACGTGGCCTGCCAAAAAATATTTAAAAAACAAAACAAAATCCGTTTCAGCCTGTCCTCATGTCTCCCTACTCTCATTCCTTGTGGACTTTTGGTGAAAGTACCTTTACAGTCATATGGCACGGATCAGAACAAAAACTTGGCATCTCGCTGCAAACCATATTTAGCTATTCTTTGCTTAGCCTTAAAATAGATCCTGACACTGTCTCCTGGAAACTCACGGCTTCCATTTATTGTTATGAGAACTTGCGTCCACTTGGGCTCCGTTGTTTAACTTTGCTAAAACAATGTGTTTTGAAGCGGTTTCTTGTAAGGAAGAAGGCTAAGAAGTGACAGCTCTGTAAGTCATCCTTGTCTGCTGTGGGAAAGGCCCTAGCTATATTGCTCACTGTTGGGTTTACAGAAGACGGAATGGCTGGGTTCAGAAAGGACTTCTGGAGATTATCCAAGCCCCCTGCTAAAGCAGGCTCACCTAGAGAAGGTTGCACAGGATCACAACCAGATGGGCTTTGAATCTCTCCAGAGGAGACTCCACAACCTCTCTGTGCAGCCTGTTCCACTACTCTGCTACCCTCAGTGTAAATAAATTTTCCCTCATATTTAGATGGCACTTCCTGTGTCTCAGTTTGTGCCCATTGCCCCTCACCCTGTCACTGGACACCACTGAAAAGAGTCTGGCCCCATCCTGACCAGGATCTGACACCCACCACTGAGCATATCTGTATGCATTGATATGATCCCCTCTCAGTTGTTTCTTCTCCAGGCTAAACAGACCCAACTCTCTCAGCCTTTCCTTGTAAGAGGGATGCTCCAGACCCCTGTTTATCTCTGTAGCCCTCTGCTGTACCCTCTCCAGTACCTCCTTATCTTTCTTGTACTGAGGAGCCCAGCACTGGACACAGTCCTCCAGGTGTGGCCTCACCAGGGCAGAGCAGATGATCACCTCCCTCGACCTGCTAGCCACATTCTTCCTAATGCATCCCAGGATACTATTGGCCTTCCTGGGAGCAGGGCTTGGAGAGAGGGTAGAGGGAGCATGAGCAGTAGGGGGCAAAGGCAGCCCTGCCACACAAGAGTGGCCAGAAGACCTCAGCAGATTCAGTAAATCCAACTCCAGCGGGCAGGAGCTTGCCCAACTCTCCTTGGGATGCACCCCTGGCTGAATAGGAAAGCTTCCATCCAGCAGCCCAGGTAACACCTTCAGAACCTGCAACTCAGGCTGCTTCAGAAGCACAGTGGGTGGCATCGTTTATACCCAGGATTTGTTTCACTGAGAGCCACAAATCAATTCTAGAGAATATTCACCACTTGATTCATCCCTGACCAGATTTGAGCACTGTATAATACTGCCTACGATGAGCTAAAGAAAAGCAAGGCAACATGAAAATTTTATAGCTAAAAAAGGCTCTGCTGCCAGGCAGCTCTGGCTTACTTACTGTGCTGCCTGTCCATGCAGCCGCCCTCTATCCTGCACCAGCAGCCAGGCAGAGCTCCCTCCCAGTGACCTGGCCAAGAGACAGCACAGAATTTGTCAGATTTTTGCTATGAAAACAAGAAGGCAATTGGCATTTTCCACTTTGTTTTGCCTTTGTAACAACCATGTCAAAGCGTACAGAGAGCATGACAAGAAATGCGTACTTGGTTATGTAGTCATTACGATACCATGCATTTCTACACAGGGAACTTAAAACCAGAGAGCGCCGCAGGCTTGCATGTAATCCAATAGTCAGATGTGCCATGAGGGCTCTGAGCAGGTGTGGGATAAAAGGGTCAGCCTTTCCTTTCCTCTGCGAGCACAAGCACTTGAGCATTTACAGGCAGAGGTGGGTGGCACAAGAGTTTTGCACGGCTAAGAATCAGTGGGGAATAATTCAGGGTAAAGGATACTCAAGACCCCAGTCTGCTGTTGCGATAACATGGGGCATCACAGGAGGTCGACGTAATTTTGGGGAAAAAAAGAGCACTTGGGCCTTTTTTTTTTGGTAGAGGAGGGAGACATGGCACAGTTTTAAACACTACATATCACTAAACTAATATTAACAGTTCACAGCATGAAATTCCAGACCAAGCACATAAAACATTTGAAAAATTAATTAAAAAAAAAATTAAAAACTCCAAGAAAGGCGAATACTTACGAAGACCATATCCAGAAGGCATAGATGGCTGCTTCCTCCTCATACCTTAAACTATTCCCCAAGACTTGCAGCTGTTCTCTTCAGAAGATATTTAGGCCCTTCAAATTATTTATAGCATGGAACCTATCAAAATCTCTCTATAAATAAAGCCCACTACACCATTCTGGTGAGTTTTCACACTTGCTTACACTGTATTTGTTGTATAGATTACCAATGCGACTGTAAAAGCATTACCTGTTTTTCTTGCAGGTACGTGGCAATAATTCATCCCTTCAAGCCCAGGCTCTCTGCAGGAAGCACCAGAGTCATCATAGGGATAATCTGGCTGGTGGCATTTGGGCTTGCCTTCCCACAGTGCTTCTACGCTGAGATCATGATGGACAATGGAACAATAAAATGCATCGTTGTCTGGCCTGATGATGTCGGCTCAAAACACCAGCTCACGTAAGAGAAATGAGAAAACTCCTAATTCATGCGAATGTTAAGTAGGAAATTCATTTCTTCTCCAAACCGTTGGCTACAGGGAGAGCGGGCAGGGTGGAACCACACAGCAGGGGAATGTGGGTGTGAGGCAGGCAATCTAAGCTCAGTTAAAGCCTGCTGTGGAAAAAGCTGCCAGGTGATCACAGCTCAGGGCAGGGAAGGGTGATCTATCCTCCCCTGCTCTGAAAACTGGTTATAAGATCTAGAAACCCCAGATACAGGGCTCGGTGGATTTAAGAGAAACCAGCACAGCCTGGTTCCAAGGATTTTGGATTTTCTCCCTCCATCAGGCAGGAAGAAACTGGGTATCTTTAATGCTGAAAAGCCACACAAATGTGTAGCTTAAAAATCAGGCTGCTCTTTGGGTTAGGGGAGGGGTGGGAAAGAGGAGCATGTTTCAAACATCCTAAGGTTTTATAGATCGACTTATCTGGGCACACATCTGTGCTCCCAAAAGCTCCTGACCCTCACAGCAATTTCCTCCTGCTTTAAAACGTGATTGTTCAGACACATGGAACAAGCCATACCTTGCATTTTAGGGGATGTGCTGTGATTAATTATTATTCAAAGCACATGATACACAGAGTAGTTTGAGAAATTTATCAAGCAAAACATATTTATACTAAGAAGTAATGGAAGAACTGCAGAAAAGAAACAAATCCATTAACAAAATGGAAACAATTTTTCAAACCAAAACAAAGTTCTAAACCCCCCGTGCCTGTTCTTCACTGTGAACTGCTTTTGCCCAGCTGCATGTACCAGGGACATTTTTCCCTTCTCAGTCTTCATTTCTGGCAGACAGCTGGATGCCTCCTATGGTTAGTTATTACCAAATCAACTGTTTTTCACACTAACATGTGCCAAGTTTCAGGAGCTCTATGTAAGTTTGGGTAACTTGCAGCAAATTCAGCCACTGGTGCCCAGTTGTCCCCAGTCGCCAGAGTCACAGAAGAATAAAGAGTAAAATCAGGCTCATGTCATGTTGGGTGATGCTCCTCTCAGGGGTCCTTGGCTGGTAGCCCATGGCACATGCTGGGGAACACAGTGTGCAAGCTCCTGTCGATTAAGAAGGAGGGGTAATAGCTGATTGCTTTTATGTAAGTCACTGATGACTCTTTCATTTAGATGAAACTTAGTGTGGGGTTTATTTCTCCCACAGCCATGGTTTGAAACAAGAATTTCCCAGTATAGTGACAAAACCTCTGCAAATTGGAAAGGCTGGTCCTGAATGTGAATAATGGGGCAGGTTCTTTCTGGGATCCCCAGCTTAGGAGCAGCAGTTCCTGAACGCAGAACATGACTTCATTCACCAGCTTACTCTCCCTGAACAGCCTCAGATTTGCAGGTTGCAGTAGTTCTCCTAAAGAGGAAGTTGGAAGCAGTGCTCCCCAGAAATCATCTTGAGTGATGGAGCTGTTGGGACAGATGCCTGCAATATAGACCACTGAGAAAAAAAGCCATATGCCATTCATGTGCTAGTCCAAATACAGAGGGAAAGAAATATTAAGAAACCCAAAAAAAAAAAAATCAGAAGTGGAGAACTGGGTTCCTCTGTTGACTGTGGGTTCTCAAAATCCTTCATAGTTGAGTAAAAGCAGCCTTCAAGATTTCTAGACTTCCAAACAAAGGAAAATCCTTTTCTGCAGGAAAAATGTGTATAAGTATGATAGAAACAGGTAAAAAAAGACCCAAACAATGTACTGCTGTGACTGCCAGTGCCTGAGAAATACTGGATGCAAAGGGACTGAATCTGTAGAACTTTAACCAAAATAAAGAACTTTAACCACAAGAGGATTATTTTTAACTCGTGACAGGTTAATTTTGCAGCAAAGCAGCACAATTACAACACTAAAAGTTCTTTGTGTCATGTGCCACTTAGGCTCCTATCTCATCCTGCTCCTCACAGGATGGGAACTCTAACAGGGCTTTGCTGATTAGACCTTCAAAAGAGGTACTGCTCTGAGGACAGTTGGGAGAGGTGGAAAACAGGCAGGGACTTGCCATGTTTCACAGATACAATACTTTTCTATATGCAGCCATCACTTTGATATCTGCAAACATTCCAAGCAACAAACACCTCCGTGCACCCCAACACCCATTTCGACAGCCCTCAGCAAAGCAGTGGACCCCGCTCGCTAAGGCAGCAAGTAACTCCAGGGTGTTGTCATGCTGAGAAAGACCATTTGCACCCAGCCTTTTGTGGCCATTGCCAGCAGCGTGTGCCAGAGCCCTCCTGCCTAATCCTAGTTTTTACACTGTTTATGTTAATTTGACAGCTGCTGTAACTGAGTGAGCAGGTTGTTCCCTCCCTATAAATGGTGGTTGCTTAAAATAATTGACCCCCAGCATGAAGGAATCAGCAGAAGCTTGCAGGGTAACGTGGAAGGCTAAGAAGGGCTGAGCTAAAACACAGCCAAAGGAGGTGCCAGCACTTTTGGCTGGAGCAGTAACTGAGTAAGTAGCCTGTTGGTGATACGTAATTTTGTGCACACACACAAACAAAACCAGCCAGCAACACAAATACAGCAATAACTGCCATTCACTTTCTGCATGCTGTAAGCAGGCAATATTCCTTCCTTGCTATCTGCAGAGTCTCACCTGATGGCTTTGTGCACGCTGTTAGCAGCCAGCTACGTCTTGCAGTCCCCGATCCAGGTATTTCCACTGTCGCCAAATTGAGCTGTTGACACCATTGCATTTGTCAAGTTACTCTGTGGTTTTCAGAATATCCCTTTTCAGTATCTGTCATTTAAAGGTTCATATCTTTACAGCACAAGTCTCAGATGTGTCTCTTTCTCGACTGCAGAGGGATAGCAAAGTTCAGTGCTCTCTGGTAAAAAATAAACCATATTACTTCATCTTGAAAGAACAATGAACCCAGTCCAAGCACTAATCGTTACAACACAAGAGAGATGAGCTTCTGCTCTTTACAGAAGTCCCTGTAATGATGTTTGTAGACAAAATTTCTGCTTCTTTATGCTTTGAGGTTGAAGTTAATGGGAGCCAGGCTTACATGTCCAAATGGCAATTTCTGAGAGCCCTTCAAGAGACGTACTGACTATGAAAACGTGCTTGTTCTTCTTTTTCAGGTATCACATTGCAGTGATCGTGCTGATTTATTTACTGCCTTTACTGGTGATGTTTGTTGCGTACAGCATTATAGGAATTACTCTGTGGAGCAGTGCAGTTCCAGGCAACCACCTTAACAGAGCCCGCTATGAACACCAAGTTAATGCCAAAAAAAAGGTCAGAAGTGAAACTTAAAAATAATTACCCTCAACACACCAGTGCTGCTGGCTCCAACTCCAAAATGAAGCTTGCGTTTGATACAAACTCTTGTGGGACTGGGCATGAAAGGTTGACAAAATGTTTTGGGCTGGGGGTAAAGGGCATCACCCAGCAAGTATGAAAAGAAATTGTGATCTATATGTGCCAGCTATCATCCAAGGAAGAAAGGCTCACATCAGTAGGCAGCAGGCCAGTTCCCAGCAGTCCTTAGAGAGTGAAGCCACACAGTGCAGGATAAACCAGGGCAAAACTCTGGACAGGGTGGGAGAGGTTTCAATTCAACAGCAGTTATCTCATTTTCCTACTATAGCTCTCTGATGTAGCTGCAAGCAGAAAGTCCACTCGGTGCACCAGGAATCATTTGCTCTAACTCTCAGGCTGTTCCTAGTTTCCACCATCAGTGCTGGGGTTTTTTGCCCTATCAGCTCAGGTCTACATACCATATGCAGCACTTCAGCAGTAGAAAACAGACCCAACCCAAATGCAGCATTTCCCATTTTCCCAGAAGGCTCATTTGATCACCCAGAGGCCCAGGAATAACACAGTGGTTTTGTTTTTCTAGTTTGTGAAGACCATGGTGGTAGTTGTGATCATTTTTGCTGTCTGCTGGCTGCCCTATCACATATACTTCATCCTGGGAAGCTTCAAGGAAGACATCTACCAGCAGAAATACATTCAACAGGTTTATCTTGCAGTCTTTCTCCTTGCCATGAGTTCAACAATGTACAACCCCATCATATACTGCTGTCTTAACCAAAGGTGAGTAGTGTGCATGTGAGTGAGCAGAGAAAACAAAAATCTCAATCTGAAAAAGCAAAAATCTCTGGAGGTGAGAACAACTGTGATTTTCAACTGCAGTACATAGGCTAAACAGACAATTTATACTCTGCTAATAATGTGAGATGAGCCACACCATGAGATTTTAACTCAACCCTTAAGATTTTCAGCCTCCGAACAAAGCACAGGCAGCAGGCATATGATCAGCACAGCCACTGTTGTACACATTTCCACACACAGACTCCCTTATTTCCAAGGAAGGAGTGAGGAATCTGTAACCCCTGCCACGCATCTGCTGACCTAACGCTGGGCTGGGTTGGCCAACCATTCCTCCCAGACCACCGCCCTCCCAGCACAGCCCTGTGCCCCTCACACAGGGCCTGGGCTCACTCCCGTGGGCAAAGGAGCAGCCCACGGGTGACCTGCCTGGAGTCCCATCCCGGCATGCTGCCGCGAGCGAGGGGCTGGGAGAGCACAACCCCGTTGTGCCAAGAGATGTCCCTCTTGCTCCGTGCTAAGGACGGGCTGCTCCCGGGGCGCTGGTGCGGCAGGAAGTCGAGTGTGGGGAGCTGCTCTGGCTGCCCTGCGGATCTCCATGCGAGATCCTGCCTGCGCATCCTACTGACAGACCTCTCCCTAATCTGCATCTCTCTTTAGCTTAGCTGCGTGGGCAGTGAGCAGTGAGCTTTAAGGGTATTTATTATACACCTTATCCAGCACCTCCAGTGCAGTTTCACCGCGTTTTCACCGGAAAAAACGCCTAACTGCAGGGTGATGCAAGGAAGCTCAGTCCTTAGGAGCATTTCTAACAGCATCCTGCCCATAAACTCACAAAAGGCGGAAGCTTTGCAGCCCATTCAGCCGATCTGCACTTGAGGCCAAACATCCAAACACATCCTTCTCCTCTCAGAAAGCAGAGAGCTTCCTCATTTAATTATTCATGATTTTTAAAAAAGCTTCCAGTGGGAAAGCACACGTATTTTCCTCAGATTCTACACTTCTCACAAACGCTGCTATCAGCATGGTCATCACCGTCTACTGAGCACATCAGACATCCTGCCATTCCACTGATCATATATATTTACTTAAAATATAAGGAAATCTGATCATGAACTATTGCACTCCTCCTCCATGGTTTTATACATTTAGCGTTTCATCTCACTTCTTTGATTTCAATAGAAATATTTTATTTGCATGGACATTCAGAGGTAAAACCAAGTCATGCATTTGCTCTTCCTCTGTGCAATTAAAAAGATGAATTCACCATTTCATTTCTTTTCTTGCATGTACAGGTTTCGTTCTGGCTTCAAATTAGCCTTCCGGTGGTGTCCATGCATACAAGCAACTGAGAAAGACAAACTCAAACTCACATCCCCATCTCTTTACCAGACAACCCACAGGAAGTCAAGAACAACAAGTTTTGATACAGAAACTCAACTGAATGAGAAGGAGAAGACATCATTTACCCCCACCCAGCTAACACTCTGATTTTCTCCTCCTGTTTCTGGCTCTATCCTAATTCAGAATTCCAAGGCAGCAGATTTGTAGAAGCCTGAAACTGGTCTTTTTTCTGGAGCAAGTGTTTCTGTCAGGATGTTTTTATATGCCATCAGCATTGAAAGCACCCTACTGATAATGCTTATATCCACATGGGCCCAAATATCACCCAGCTATGGATACAGGTTCAGCTCTCTCCTACACCACCAACTGCAATACAGAACACAGAGAGCTTGCCCGTGAGGTCAAAAGAAGCAGCAAAGCAGACCTGAGGCACTGCCAATCACTAGAATGATCAATTATTCTCTTCCAGATGGCGACCTCCTTTCTGTTCCACCAAGACACTTAAATCTGGAAAAGGGGTGATGAAGCAGAAAGGCTGGGGCACATTTAGTCCAGTTTGGATGAACCCTTGGGGCTACGTGTGCAGCTAAGTCCCATGGCCCAGCAGCCCCATGGTGGACATGACTGTAGAGCAAAGGCAAACGCTAACACATCCGGACTCAAAAGCCTGCCCTGAAAATTTTCAATTCTGAGTCTCATGCCTGCAATTTCATCAGCACTGTCCCACATCAGTTCCAAGTGACAAACAGTTACTGAAGATGTCTTCGTTGGATGCATTTCTATTACCTTGTATCAAAATGTCATTTTCCTATTAAACTGTGCCCAAGTGATTTCTCCAACTTCACATTGTTAATTGTTGTGCCTAATTTGGAAAGTGAGAGTCTCTGAAGGGTCAGTAGCCTGGTGTGTGATGCTCACTGGCTTGGTCAGGGCTTGTGGTTACAATCTGAATCCGCCTCCTTTATCTCCTCTTAGTCCTAACAACAGTCTCCCCATCGCTGTCTCTTCCCAGATAGTCCCCTTCTCTTCACTTTCCAGACTTACCCCGTATTTATTGTCACTATTCTTCTCTTTTCAGATATGAAAATAAAGGCTGAAATACCATCTTCAAAGCCTGAGTTATTATGTGCAGGTATGCAAATCAAGAGAAGCTGCAATATAAACATATATAAAAGTAATACAGCATTTAATACTGGTGCGATACTTAGCACCTCAGAATCACCTTCACCTTTCATGACAAGTTTGTATATACTATCACAGAGACATACATTAGTATACAAAAAACTCCTACAATGTCGATAAGATCCAGTTATTTAAAATATTTCACCTTGCTCTGTGAAAGCAAAACTACAAAGGATTAAATTCTGCAGTAAATTCAGAAAAAAGATTGTGGCTTGAACTGCAAGAGTACTCGGGGACATGACTTCTCCACTTAACCTGCCTCACGTCCCTGGCTGCTGTGGAGAACAATTATGTCACAAACTTGTCTCACTAATGGGACAACAGAGCATAGGGCTGTATGCCCTTCTTAGAGAGCTCATTATTTTAAACCATTCCAGCAGGTAGTGTCTAATCTAGAAGTTATCTGTCCAGCCCTCTTAATTGGCCAGCCTGCTCTTCCCAAGACTGTACCACTGGTGCACACAAGGGAGAGGAAGAGCAGAAAGAGGCATTTAGAGCCAGCCATCCCTGAGCCTTTTTTGAAGGAAGTCAAAGCAATTAGGAAGGGATGCTCTGCAAGGCACAGATCTCTGGGATCAGACTAGAGGTTGCAAAGACTCTTGCTCCAAGGAACTGAATGGCACATGCATGCAGAGTTCGCTATTTCATATACATAAGCTGTACTTCGCCCATGCTCAGCCAATGTAATTGTAAGGCCTTTAAACCCTTTAAATCCTGCAGCTTTCTAACGCAAATCGTCTTAGACCAAACAGGCCTATCTTCAGCATCACAGCTTCCATCATACCTTAACACAGCCAGCAAGAACTTATTTCAGATGCCCAAATGTCACAAGTGTGCTGGCAGTCCCTCCCCTGTACAGTCCCTGATAGTCACCAATGTTTTCTGACAGCTCAAGGCATCTTTCTCCCTTGTTGAGATTCAGGAAGCAGAGGATTGATGATATCTTCAGGTCACAAGTGAAAGTCCCTGTGCCCTGAAGGACTCACACTGCAGATCCTGAAAAGTTACTCTGGTAAAACCAGCAAGAGTTAAGAAAGCAGAGATGCTCTGAGCCCTTGTTAGATAGCGCAAGGCATGCCAAGGCAGACTACAGTACTTCTGTGATATATGGGGTAAGGGGAACACCATGCTCCATAGTAAATACATGCAATTCTTCATATAAATGTGATTAAATAATGTGCAGCAGCAAAACACCTCCGGGTCAGCAATAAATCCCTCCTCTGCACAGTCACTTCTACTCTAAGCAGCAATGGAGTTCCTGCAGCCAGCAAAGAATAATATTTGGAAAAACTAATTTTTATGGCAAAGGAATGAACAAAAAGCACAAAACGGGGTTCAGAAGTTCAGAAACACTTTATTTTGCCTTCTGCTATTTTCTTAAGAAAACAAAACTAAACAAAGTCTGCTTGTTTTAAAACCCATTCAAAAGGCTTCTGAGAGAATCCCCAGAGGAGTAAGGAGCAGATAACATTACAACAGTGGTATGCAAATGGTCTTTTCCCCAGGAAATATAAGATTCTGTGTTCATATTGCAGTAATTACATGTTAACAATTAAGAGGACTAGGATTTTCTTCACCAAGCCTAAAAGCTTTAAGTAAGACATCTCAGTCATTGCTTGGATAACACTGGAGACATTTCTTCAGACATTATAGCTTGTGATTCACTTGGAACAGCTTCCTAGAGGTAAGAAGTAGTCTGGAAATGGAAAGCCCACCAGATCTCCCTTTGAAAAAGAACTGCCGTGTCTTATCAACTACATCATCTATGGTCCACAATAGGAAGAATTGTGCTGTTAGAAACACAAACTCACACCCTAGTTGTTATGGGCTGGAGCCAATAAACAAAACAACCTATGCCAGCATCTTCAAAATTCAGTCATCCCAAGACCAAGCTTAACTTTCACTTCTCATTCATCCTCTATCCTGCACTGACCCAAGCCCTCAGATGCTGAAGAGCTCCAAACCCAGGTCCTTTGGGACAGCTCACACTACCCCTGTAGCACTGCTGATGGCAGGCATAAGATTTGCAAATATTCAAGCAGTTAAAATGCAACATGTCTCCTGCACCCAAAAAAGTTTCTCACCTTCTTCTGTCTCCTATTTGGGGTCATAGCTGCACATGAAGGGTGTCAGCAACTATTTAAGCTGTAATATAAAATGGGTTATTGGAGAAGCACAGCTTTAGTGTGTGTGCAAAAGGGTCCTTCAAAAGCAACTCCATCACAGGATGCGCAAAACAGCAGTGTATGAGAACCTAACACTGTGATTCTGCAAACATTAAGCCTATGCACACAGGGAGTGTAACAGACTCTGATATGCATCAGACTTCTCTGGGGACACAGCGACTGTAACATATCCATCACTGTGTATCTACCTAATAACACTGGTTTTGGTGCAGTGCACTGAAGTTTTCCTGCACTGCAGATCCTCCTGCATGAGATGCACCCAGACAAACTACATGTCCCTAAGACTTGGGCATTGTCAGCTCTGTGCCTCTGCTGAACTACATTAGGAAACACGAGGCATAGGGACCTGGGTAAAATCCACCCTATTTGAACCTGACCCCGAATACCCGGGAATAAAAACACACACACAAAACACAGGCACCACTGGGATTAGTCTGCAGCTCTCCCTACACAATAGCTTTTCCCAAAGCACTAAGCCACCAGCCAACAGCACCTCTTCCAGAAAGAACCACTAAACACCAGTTAACGCACATCAAAAAAAGTTTAATATTTTCACAAATATCACGTAACACTAGTACCAGAGCTACTAGTGTGCAAAGTAAAAAGACTCTCTACCTTTCCAAAACCACTTAGGCATGCGATTTTTCAGGTAGACACACACTTAAAGCTGCAATGACTGTGACTTACGTGTTACTTTACAACATTCACTCACAGTGCACCATAATGTGTATTGAAATGATACTGATAGGGCAATCCAAATCTTAGGGGAGTGGAACAAGGACAAAGAGGAATAGCCTGCAAATTTCCATCTACTTTCTGCAGGGAAAGGCAGCAGGGAAAACCATGCAGACATCTCAAATTCATTTTTGGTAGAAGAGCAGGAATTAAGAACTACTGTGTGGTCTCCCTCGTTGCAGAAAGTGGCATGACTTGCAAATGTTTTCAACTGCAATGTTTTTTAACTGTGTCTCAATTTAAGTAATGTGACTGGTATGCAAATATAATAATGGCACTGACTCGACAGAGGACAGTATACACCAAGTGTATATGATCTTTGCTGTTGCTTTAAACCTTGGGATAAGCTGGGTCTGATTTTGGCTTTCTGGTTTGTTTAGTTTGCTCACCCAGGTCATCAAAGGCAAGATCAAAATCAAACCCTCATATTCCTTTCTGATCACTAACTCTAGCTGCATGTTTGTGTTTTGAGTGGCAGCTTAATTAACACTATTAAAGATTAAAGCTTTGTGTGGAAGCAAATACCCATTTAAGGCGAGACGGAAGTATACACATCCGAGTGACACTGACTAGGCTGCAGATTCAGAAGAAGGGCAGCTGTGGTGCCCTGATCTAGACTGACAAGAAGAGATAGAAAATAGTTTTTATAAGAACTCTTAAACAGAAAAATACAGCACAACCCTCATAGAGACCATAAACCTACCAGTTTCCCAGCTCTGGAGATTTGGATTACCCCAACCACCAACCACTTTGTTTTAACTCTTTAGGGATTTCTTGCTGAGATGTGACAGATTTCACCCAGTAACACAACACTATTCACAGAAGCAATGGGAAATACCAGTGGAATCAGATCTGTGGGACAAGGGCATTTACTTTTACCATGACAAAACAGGCATCAAGGAAGCAAGTAAGTCGCACTGTCAAGTCCCACTATAGTTACGTGCGTGCACAGTGCTGACACACCATAATGTTTTCACAATCGCTTTAGACGAAACAACAGCAGGTAGATATGCAGGAGGGAACTGTTGCTTCCCCTTCACTGAAAGCATCAACAACCAGGTCTGGTGGGCAGTGTGCTGGCAGTGCGCTTATCAGGGATGCTGCAAAGAACACATTTGGTACAATGCAACGGTAGCTCTCAACTTGGGGGTAATTTTGTCTTAGACAACAACTGATTTTTGACAGCTGCAGAAATTATAGACTGATTTTTCCATGACCTACAGATGGGGAAGGTACCAACAAGGTGAATAAGAAACATGCAGACTGGGGTCCAGAAACAGGAGATATTATTAACAGCACACATTCTATCTTGTATCCTACTTTTTATGTCATTAGCTGTATTTTCTTTTTCCCCGATAAAGCAGTGAGTTCTGGGTTTTTACCAGTTCTGACTATGCAGTCGCTGCTTTATGAGAAAGTGCTCACAAGACAGAATCGGGGCCACGATTGTAGAGTTCAGTTTTGCTCGGCATCGCGAAGCCTGCATCCCACTGCTGTGATGAGTGCTGCCCCTTTCCCGCTACCATCTTCTGATAGCAGGAAGGTCACATCGCAGTTGGGTGCCAGGTCTTTGACTGTTTGGTGCATGATCCTTGAAAAGCTGTAAAAAGAAACAATGGCAATGGGTGAGGGAGGTCCTACACCTACAAGAGTGTAGCACTGCCACAGGCCTTTACAATGCCCCTCCCTTAACTGGGGAAAGAATTAGGACTGTCATGGCTTAACCTCAGCCAGCATCTAAGCAGCACACAGCCACTCACTCATCTCCTCCCCCCAGTGGGATGGGGGAGAGCATCAGAAATGTAAAAAGCGAGAAAACTTGTGAGTGGTTCAGATAAAGACAGTTTAATGGGACAGACACGAGGGTGGATTTGAAGACTGGGAGCAGTGGGAGTTAAAGGAAAAATGCACTTGCATCCCACCCCTGCCTGTCTGTCTTTGTGGGGTTAACCCAGATTGCTAGTATCACAGCAAAGGGGAGAGAAGATATCACACACAGTTGTCTCATTCCTACACATCTCTCTCCATGCACACCAGACAGGGGCACTAGTCCTCTCCTCCTCCTGTTGCAGACTCTTTTAGACTCCTGTTCTGACCTGCCATTGCTTTGCAACCACCCATTTCTTCTGCACACTCAACAGAAACATCTTGCAAAGAGGCACCAGGCATTTCAGCACTGCTCTCTCATTGCCTTTGCATAGCAAAGAGATCCTTCCCTTGCTATGCAGTTTCCAACATGTTCAGCAAGCTGTGTCCCCTTCAGTTTGTCACTGCCCCAAGGATCCTTTCCAATTCCTTCTTGTCCCTCTTGTTGCCCTTTAGAAAGCCCTGGCCCCCCATATTTAAAACTTTTAAACAAGCTCTTATCCTAGCAAATAAAAGAGACCAGTTTGGTGCATCAAGAAAAAGGATGTACAAGCAACAAGCTACAGATCACAAGCAAATACATGCGGAGAAAGTGAATACTTACTGTGGATGTAGTTTGTACAGAGTCCCATCCACACCAACCGTTATCTCCAGGTGCTCTAATCCTCTGTTCTCCCTAATTTTATCTACCATTGCAGCCATTCCAGCACCGCATAACTGAGCTGCTCGCCTTGACACCGCTCCGCACACTGTCTTCACAATGATACTGTCATCGCAGGTGCTGTTGAGCCCCAGCTGCTGGAGGATGGCTCGCACCTGCAGCAAGGCTAACCTGTCACTGCAGATGCAGAAGAGCACAGTGTTAAAGATTTCCCTCAGTCAAGCCACTGCCACAAATCCACTGTATTGATGGCTGCATCCATGCATCCACACCAGGCAGAAGCCTTTCCTACCGGTGCAAGAGACCTCAGGGAGTGCAAATTCGTTCACAACAGCACCATTCTGCAGTGTAGGAGAGGGGTACAAGACAGCAAAGGAGGTTCCAAGTCCAGCTCTGCAATGCCTCCCTTTCTCTTTTCTTACCAAAGGGCATTTCAGGAAGATACTTTTCATGCCCACCTCAGGGTTCTCCCTCCCTTAAAGACTGAACAGGCTTTGAGATTGCTTTGAAATACAGTGTCCAATCAAGACACAAAAATATCCAGTAAAGAAATCCTCATTCAGTACAACAGCTATAGCTACACACACACAAGGGGCACAGGAGAATGGCTTGATTTCCAAGCAAGCAAATAAAATAATACAGTAAGGGAACCCCTGACAGCTCTTTCCATGATTTAGCAGTAAGCATGACTAGGAATTCAGATGATGTTGCAAGCAGTCCTCCTACAAATGCGCAGCCTCTTACTGAAGCCAAAATTATCTCTGGAGAACCAAGCAATACTCTCCCGCTGTCCCTCCCCTCTAGCACTGTCATCTCATGACACATGACTACATAATGTTAATTCACTCTAAAACAGCCTCCTGTGCAGTGTTCTTACCTCTCAATCTGAGAAAGGAACTTGGTTTCAAAGATGTGTCTGGTCTTCAGTGTCTCTGAAATCTGGCCTCTGAACAGGAATCCCCGTTTAGTGAAGTCAATCAAAATATTGCGGACTATTTCCCCCAGGTACATCCCACTGATCATTTTCTCATACCTGTAATGAAAGACAGCAGCACAGCTCAGAGGGACACTGCTCACATTTGCAAAGGCAGCAGCATTGCAGCTGTATTATCAAACAGGCGTTCTGCCCATGCACACGCCTGCGTATAGACTGTGTATTTCATGTCCCAACAAAAAATGGCCATTTACTAGAAAAAATGGGAAAGAAAAAGTATGAAGAGTCAGTGGGAAGCCTTGTGAGCCCATGTACATACACTTCACCTGTTCCTCACTACCACGTTCCCCCAGCCAGGCTGTTGTTAACAATGGCTGGTATTTCTACCAGATGGAAGAAATGAAAAACTGCCACCAGAGAGCAGAACCATGCTCAGATGAAAGCCAGATTTGCCATGTGTTCTCCAGTGACAGCTCTGAGTAGACCCCAGGGAAAACATATCTCCACTGCACATTTGGGAGCCCTCTTGAAGCATGGCTGAGACCTTCAACAAAAGAAATGCTCAGTGGCTCTGTGCAGCAAAATTACAGGAAAAATCACAATGTAGTTGCTGCAAGTGCAGCGTTTTTATGGGAATCCTGTGCTGCAAAACCCTGGGAAATGTAAAAGATATGAAAAGGTACGTCCAGCATGTTCACCGAATCACTGCCTTTTAAACTAGCAAGCTGGGTGTCCATGGTTGGTTTAAGCTTTTCAGTTATTTCCAGCACCCGTTTCTAGTATGGAACCAGTAGTCCAGAAACCACAGGAAGAAACCAAGCTGTCCTGACTTTGTACACAAGACCCAAATTTCCCATGCAGGTCTGCCCCCAGCATAGAGAGGGAGAATATTCTCCATCTGCAGATCTCTTCCAAGCACACGACAAGGAGTGGCCCATGACTGATGCCTGGCAAAGGTACATGGCAGCCCTGTGCTGAGGAGGGCAGAAGTCTGCTTTGCACTCCTTCCCCTCCAGCATCATTCTGGTTGGAAGGGAACATCTGGGGGTCTGTTAGTTGTGCCATTACCAATGAGCAGTGAACACTTCCACTTCTTGAAAAGTGCATTCATTAAAGCATCCTTTATTTCACTTCCTGAAGCTCTAAAGCAGGGTTTCTGCCCTGAATTGAAAGGAGCCCAGCGTGCCAGCCCACTGGAAGCAGGCCACGCAATCCATTTAATACTATGAGCTCTCTCAGGCTTGTACCCAGCAAGTGTCCTCCCTGTTGAGTGCCTAACTCTCTCTGGAATAAATTAATCCCCCTGGAAGTCTCTGCTAATGCCTTTGGGTTCTTACTCCATGCCAACTCTGCTGCTGCATCAGGCTTGCTCAGTGTCAGCTTGAGCCCTAACTTCTAAAGAGCTTCCCAAGGGACCTTCCAAGTAGTCTGCATCCCCCAGGTTTTCAGGCAGATTTACTCTGAAAGCTCCTGGCATCAAAGCATTGCTGCAGAGAAATTATGAAGAATTGTAGTCTGGGCACGCACCAGTCACAATCCAGTTTTATCAGTGCTGGGTACACCTCCCTGTCAGCCTTTTCTTGAAGGGGACAGGGAAGAACTTGCCCAGACAAAAGCTAGACCCCCAAAAAGCAAACTCCAGGGCCAGTAATTAAGGCAGGTCCTCTAACATGATGTCCAGAAAACTGCTTGAAATAAGAGCTAGCTACAACTGCTAGAAAGCTCCTGAATGTTTTACAGTGAGCAGCTCCAAGCTCCAACCATGCTGGCTGGTCTAAGCTGAAGACTTCTAGAGGCAGAGCCCCCTACAAAGAGTTCACCTAAAAGAGATTAAACTGAAACCAAGAACAAAGGAATGACAAGCCATCTTAACTCCCTCAGTACAACACAGGATGTAAAAAAGGGTCTCTTAGTAATTTCAAAGCTCTTGAAGTTCTCACCAAAAACCCTGCTGAAGTCCCATGGAAGCAAATAAGCTTCATAAAAGCACAGAAGAGGGAGACATCATGGGACCGCAGTGCTGCAGTAATTTTCCATTCTTAACCTCTGCCTTCTCTGACTAGGAGAAATCAAATTCTCTCTTAAAAGCATTTCAGGCAGCCTGGCTTATACTTAACACACCATTTATCCTGCAGTACCTTTGCTTTCCAGCATTTAGTGAATAGTCATCAACTGCTTTGTCATATATTGTCCTGATATCATCCAGGCATCCATTATCCCCAAATGCTCCCCACTCTGTGTTCACGCACATCCGTCCTTGCTCACCATCCACCATCTCTATGTTTCTCATCTCTTCCATGTAACAGGCATTGCTGCCAGTTCCTGAAAAAAGGAAATACTGAAATTACTCTTTAGAACAAAACAAGCTAGAACAAGCACGACAGCCCTGACAACCCTTCTGGGGGATGTTGAATGTGCTTTTTCTGAATGAAGAAGTCAAATTATCATTTGAAATGTCACCAAAAAGTCACACTCTTCAAAAATCCTAAATTGAAGGAGAATATTATGGCTATGGTGCGCTGCTTAAGATGGCTCACAGAGGACTCCTACCCAGGCCAGCTGGGCTGAGGGTCCCATGCTACAGGGAGGAGCAGGGAAGTGCCAAGGAACAGGGAGTGTCATTTTTTGGCACACCAACCTTCATGCACTACTGAATCCAAAACCATAGCCAGCAGCCAGCTGGATTTTGAAGTTAGGAGCCACCTTCCACAAAGCCCAAGGCTCCACAAAATTCAGGGGAAAATTTGCCGAACTGAAAACCTCAGCAAGTTCTGCGGCACAAGACAAAAGAAAACCCCAGGGGTTTTACCAGCTAACTGCAGGGTAAGCTCAGATTTTGCTTGGGGCTGTTTTTTTGTTTTTTTTTTAATCAAATTGCTTAAATAGCTTCTCCAGCAGGAAGGTTACTTCCATCTTGAAATGATGCCATATCAGATTCTGCTTGAAGGAGATCCTAAGGAGTGTGGCAATTACAAAGTGCTCTATGTACCCAGAGGCCTTAGGGAGCAAAGACTTACTAGCAAAGAGGCAGCTTTTACTGCTACCTGGAACAAAGGTTTTCTTGAAGTTGCCTACCAAACTCTTATGCATCACACATTCTGCACCAATTATAAAAGCAAGTCTGTTTTCCTTTGCAATTTTTCTAGGGTACTGTATCAATAAAGTCTGAGCAAAACTAGATCCTCCCACAGTACTCCCCTGCTGCAGGAATGCTGAGCCACAGCACAGGGTCTGGCAGGGAGGGGAGGAAGTCTGGGCTTGCAGACCAAGACCCAGGTTTGCAGGACCAAACCCAGTAGTAGACCATCAGCACTGGCCAGCCTCCCAACTCCAAATCTCACTGTTCAGAATGAGGTAAGTAAGGGCTGCCTGAATATGTGAATACCTATGCAATACAGACTGTTTGACTGAGAAGCTTCTAGATGATCTCCTGTTGCCAGCAGATGAAAAGCAGAGACCTGGACTCATCAGTGGCAGCTTCCAAAGTACTCAGCAATGGAGACTAAGGCATTGGCTCTCCTGGGCAGGACAGGCAGCACTGGGCAGAGACAGGGCACCAGCATGATGTGAACTTGCCCTTGCAAGAATATTTTTCCCTGACAAGCAACAGCAGGAAAGTTCACGCACCTCCCTGCACTGAGGACAGCAGGACAACTAGCAGGCTCATGCAGCTCCTCAGCAAGCACCATCAGTCTAGCCAAGGCAACTCAAGCAGGGCAGAGGAAGCTGTTGGAGCCCTGGGGATTTCACGCTTATTATCCCAGATGTACCCAGGCCACCTCCAGTGCCCTGCTTTGCACACAGGTACGCTGGCTGGACAGCATATCTGGCAAGGCTGCAGCAGACGGTCCTCAGAGAACGTTCTCAGCTCCCCAAGGACACACTGTCCTTCCTGCAGGGAACTCTGTCCCTGAAAACACACCGCTGACAGAGCTGCGCAGACACGACTTCCTACCCACACTGCACTGTGCTGATTCATCCTGGACATTTTCCAGCTGTCTGGAGGAGAAATTGGTGGCATTTGATTTTCCTCCAAAGCCACCTCACAACTGAAAGCATTCTTAAAGCTTGCAGGTGCCTCATCCCCTTCTCTCCCATTGAAAACTGTGGGCTACCTGACCATACTGGCAGGGAAACTCTGACAGGCTAAACTAACAAAAGGAGCTGGTGAGGCGGAGTCCACATTTGCTCACTTAACAAGCAGCAAAGTGATTTTCCCAGATAAAACAGGCAGGATCTGATCAGCACTACAGGCTGTGCTTGTATCTCAGCTGATCATGGACAGACCTAACCTGGCTGTTGAATTTCATTCCTAACTCCTTCTTGCAGCTTACTTCTGAAGGGGTAGCTGTTAATCTCAAAATCTTTCACTCCTGGACACCCCAGATATATTTTCAGTTAACCTCAGGGATGTGTCCATAAGAATACAGACAGACAAGTTGACATGCTGTTTAATAAGAAAGTGCCAAATAAAAAGCAGCTCTAACACATACCCACAATGAGTCCAATTTCACAGTTTGGGTCTTCATAAGCACAAGTCATCATTGTGCCCACTGTATCATTCACCACAGCCACCACATCCAAGTCAAACTCCTTTGGAAGACAGAAATACAACAGTGAAAACTTTAGAGCAACTCCTCACACCAAAGGGGACACAAAAGGAGCACACCAAAGGGGGAGCCATGAAAACACACTGGAAACAACTGCAAATACCAGCATGATTTTACACATGCAAAAATAAGAACTTAATCTTCCAGCAGGTACTAAGGCTCTTCGCACACTCTACATGAGATAGACTATGTCTTCAGAAGAAAGTATATTCCTGTATATATGTTCTCTTTAGTTCAGGTAAATTTAAGTACAGATCTTGCGTATAGACACATGATACAGGGCTATTGCCATTCTGTATTACAGTGGTGCAGTAGCAAATCCAGTAGTAAAAGTTTTAAATCTCTTTTTCACTTCCTGATAGAAATTCTGCAAAATTAGTGATCTCCTCAGGCTACTTTTCTTCCCTTCTTAGAAAGTTTCAGCTAAGCTGCTTGAGGATTTTTCAAGATCAAGAGCTGGGGCGGGGGGGGGGGTAGGGAATGGGAACTGTCATTTAGGGTACATTTAGGGTACACTGACATGCAGTCAGTCGCTATATTGAAAATTCCTCCTTTCTCCATGCTCTGATGCAGTGAAAACTGCCATAGGGTTTGAAAGAAGTCTTGAAAGTTCTGCCAAATTTGGAAAGTTAGAATGATGAGGGAAAAAAACCAAACCCCAAGCAATAAAAGCAAATCCCCAGTGTAGCTCATTTTGAGAAGCAATTTCAGTTTGGTGGCTGAACTCTCCCATTTCCACTGTGTACTCTCTAGACTGTCCTATGTCAGTCAGGCTACATGTCAGCACCAGAGCCAGCACAGCCACATGGCATTGGCAGAGCTATACCTGGACCTGCTGCAAGGCAAACACCTTCTGTCATGTACAGGAGGCACAGCCCATGTCCTCAAAGCACACAAACCCTATGAGAGGAAGCCAGCCTGACCCATGAGATCTGTCAAGTATGGAGGCAAGGGAGAAGTAGGAGGTGAAAAAGAAAACAAAACCAGACAAAAACATTACCTCTCTCCTTTTAATTCCTTCTCTAAGCAAATACACCACATCCTCTCCCTCACAGTCTGTAGCTTTGAAACCTTTTGTCCAGTTGAGAAGGATACCCTAAAAAATGAAAGAAAATAAGTTATCAAATTTCCTGCTGCATTACAAATTGCTCCCAGAACCCTACAGTCCTCTAAGGGATGATAACTGAGCATTTCTATCTGATAACTCCCCTGTATTTGCCTGCCTCACCAAACCATAAAAGCACAAAATCACAACGCCTCACACAGGTGATCAGGGGAAATCACACAATTCTGACCCCACATCCCAGGCAATGGCCATGAATATTTGTGGCCAGCTGGTACATGGACTCATAGGGACCCTCAGGTCATAGGAGGTTCTCCAGGATTCACCAACATGGGTGCTATGTTTTGTTGAACAACTTGTCTTCTCTCTCCATCGCACTCCAAAGTCTCCCTGGCTTGACCCAGCCTCCTGTCATCAGCAGGGTGGCAGTATTTTAGAGCTGGAAATTTGAATGCTGCTCTGAACATCACTGCCTATTTCCCCCTTCCTTATATATGAATAGTCAACTTATTTTCACTAAGACTAGAATGTTACTCTGCACACTTGACTTTTCAAACGCTTTAGTATTAGGTTATACAGAAAAGCCTCTATGAAAAGGAGTATCTTACTATATGTGAAATTTGCATCTAAAATTACTAATCATGCTAGATCTCCAAATTTCCAGAGCAATCAAAAAAACTATAAAAAAGTGTGTCACAAGGTATGTCTTTTCCTAAAAAAAACCACAGGAAACTATTTACAGCTGCACAGGTGAAGTTGGTGGAAGTAAGCGGCAGTGAAGAAGTTAAACATGAAAGTGAAAAGAATGTCCCACTTGACAGGGACATGCTGTAGGCTACACTGTCACCCTCAGAGTGACATAGCCAAGCAAGCCCTGGTCCATCTGGTCCATACAGTGAGACGAGATCAGCTGGGAACAGGCACTGGCAGCAGGGATGGACTTTTGCTTACTGCTTGCAAAACCAGGGAAGTTATCACAGTCCAGTGAGTTTATATGATTGGAAAAAAACATGATACCTTAAAAAATGGATATCACCACCATGAAAAATTTAAATGCTCTTATCCATCACAGCATTGGGCTGAGAAGCATTTGCTTTGTTACCTTGAAAGGAACTATTTATAGGAGCAGCTGTACTGGTCAGGGTCAGATCATGAACCCTCCCCTCGTACAACCTTCCTGTAAGTGTCACACAGATAATATGAAGGCAGATAAATCAGGCCTAGCATAAGCACAAAAGCAGATTCAAAAGATACTAAGAAGGAACTTACAGCATCCAGACTGGTCTGCTTGCAAGGGAAGGAAAACGTGAAGCCCAGAGGAAGTCGTGCACCTTTTATCCCCATATAATCCAGGAAGTCAGAAATGCAGGTAACAATGTGATCAAACAGCTTTAAAGAGAAAAGTCATACATTTGAAGTTGTACATGTTACATGCTCTTAACAAATTTGAAAAGCAGCAGTGCTGCTAAGGAGACAAACAAACACTCACCTCTTCTCCTGTTCCCTGCATCACCTCTATAGGAATGGCATAGATTTTGTTGTGCATCTCAACTGTTCTTCTTTTACCACTGCGGATTTTCACCAGCAAAACTCTAAAGTTTGTCCCTCCAAGGTCAAGTGCCAGAAAGTCTCCATTCTCTGTAAAAGAACATGTGTGTATATTTAAAGAACCATAAACAAAACCTAAAAAAGTGCTTTCCCTAGAAGGCACTTTGATAGAAAATCTCTTAGAAACTCAGTTGGGAAGATCTTCATCAAAGGAGTATTTAGATGCTGCTCTGATTAATCCAGCCGTTTGTGTGTGTGTGGTTTTTGGTTTCATTTTGTATTAAAACAACAGGGAAAGGGACCAAAACAACTGTTCCCCGAGGAAAAGCAGAAATTTGGCCAGCCACCCTGAAATACAAAGATCTGCCCAGGTGGTGCAAACAGAGTTTGGGTTATGAGTTCAGCTATGGTTTTCTCTCCCCCAGGGCATGGCTATCTTGGACACTGGGGAAGGACATGGGGCCAGGCTGCCAGCAACCAGCATATGGGCAGCGCAGGCTGCCCTGCCCATGACTGAGATTTCCTCCCTTGCCTAGCTCAAAAGGCTCCTCTTTCATTGTACCATATCTGTTCACCCTCCACCAAACCCAAACCCCTTCACTGAGAGCCCAGTTTGGTCGCCTCACGGATGAGCCAGTGCCCTCACTCCAGCAAGTGCATGCCTTTACCTGTCCCATCTGGCGTGCTGCGGACAAATGTGGGCAGCATTTTCACTTTGGCAGTCTCATGAGTCTTCTTCTTCAACCCTGCTTCCATCTCCGCCCTCATCCTCTTCTTCACCTGCAGCAGCTGCTCATGGGTGAGCTTGAACTCAGCCAGTGTCTCGTCGATGAGACGGTGCTGTTCTGACAGCCGGTATGCCACCGCTGTCACCATCGCTGCTCCCTTCCCGCTGCCACTCTCCGAGAGCAGGAACCGCACCTCCGAGTCCGGCACCAAACGCCGGGTGGTTTTGTGCAAGCGCCGGGCGTACCTGTGGGGAGGGGAGGCTGCAAGTCTCTGTCTGTGTTGCCTCCCCAGCGGTCCCCAGAATTTCTGCTGCCAACACAGACCAACTGCAAAGGGAGCAAGGAGCCTCACAATGCCCAAACTAGCTACAGAGACTCTCCAGTAGGAAAACTGCCAGGTTTTCCCCATGGCCTCTTTCCTTATGAGTTTCGAAGAAAAGCCAGCAAAAAGCAAGGGAGAGCATCAGAGTCTCATTCCCTGAACCTGACCCTAGATGGGAGAAACCCCCTGGCCCAGTGTTGCTCCAATCCCCTCTCCTGGGATTATCAAGCTGTCTAAACCTACTGGTTTAGATGGTGTGGGGAAACAGTTCAGGAATAAAAATTGCCATGTATGTCACCTTAACACACCCCTGACCTACTATCTGGAAAAGCTAGCCAAAACAGCATTATTGGAAATATTTTTGTTTGCCAAAATTTTATGTTTTTCTTTAAGGATTTTTTTTTTTTCCCCCAACAAAAAGATGAGAAACTAAAAGTAAATGTTAAACGTATTTCTCCTTTCAAAAGTTTCCTCATAAATGAGACTCAGCCCACCTAGCCAGCTCCAATACCAAGGTATCTCCTGTATGATGTGCACCTGCTTACCCACAGCTAAATCCTCCAGTGAAGACTGGAAACTGACTTGTTCTCACCAGTTCTTATTTACTAAATAGAAACCATTTACTATGTATGCATAAACTACACTTGCACACTGCATATGTCTTCCATTTCTTTATTCTGAACTTGGAAACCCTTATGTAGGTGCAGCAGCTCCCAAACATCTGCAGCATTAGGGCTTGGGCACTGGGGTTATGACCCTAATGCACTTAAACCCTGTTATGAGCACCAGGTACACCCACAGCAGAAGAGCTCAAATTCCTTTCCGATTTCTACATAAATCTAAACAGCTGTTTGATTAAAAATGTAACTTTCAAGATGGGGAAAACCAAGTCAAAACCATTTTTTTTAAAATGCCATGGAAATGTAAGCACCATGTTTTTTTTCCCTTGGAAACCCCAAGTATCTTCAGGGAAGACTGAAAACAAAACAGGGTTCGGCACAGTCATTTTCTAAACAACTGAGTTTAAATTGAAAACAGAGATCAAGGTGCATTAATGCAGGTCTCCTTAAAGCACAGAGTAATACTTTGTACAAAGAAAAGTCTCCTACTAAGAGGTCTTTTGAGATCCCTTACGATATGTACTCGAACCACCACAGTTTTCATTAATCTTACAGTATCCAGTTACTCAGTTTTGGTTCTTTTTTTTTTTATGGTTTTGTTGTTTTTTTTAAGATGTCACCCTACTTCTTCATTAAAGACATCTCCCCTTTCCACTAAGCTCCCATCTCAGACCAAACCCCCACACCCATGGGTTCCTCATCTCACACCCAAACCACATGCCTGGGTGACATCTTGGGGTTACTTGCCCAACCCTTTGCAAGCCAGAGACTGTGGCAGGTGAAGAGTGTTAATGGCAGGAGCAGAGGGACTCACTGTGGATGCATCTTGTAGAGGGAGCCGTCAACCCCCACAGTGGTCCGGAGACGGCCAACCCCTTTGTTATCTCGCAGCTGGTTGAGGATGGCACCCAGTGTAGAGGCTACCAGGTTGGCTGAGCGGAAGGACACAATGGTGCAGACGTGCTGGACGGCAATGCAGTCCTCATGGGATGGCTCCACCCCCAGGCGGGTTAAAATTTCTTTGGCTTTGTTCAAACCTTCTTTGCTTCTACAGATAGGAATAAAGGATACTTCTTAGTGGGAGAGCTATAAAATGCAGGACTGAAGCACATCTGACCATGAGTGTCCCTGCTTGGGGTTTGAGAAAGGGGTCATACAGAAAACTTCTTGGAGATCTGGACTCCTCGAGGCTTGAAATAAAATGCTCTAAATATTCATTCATTCACAGACAGAAACGGCTTTCCATTAAAGCCTGGTGCAAACATGCCACCTACAAACCATGTAATTCCAGGCACTATAGCAGCCACCTATGGGCAGGATTACTCCCATATGTACCCAAGAGCCTGCCCTCCTTCATATTCATTTCCCATGAGGCAGACATATATTATGCCACTGGCAACCTGTCCAATTCTAATCATGTGCAGGTCTCTTTCCAACACAGAGTACGTTTCTGTTGTGCCACATGATCAGAACAAATCTTCTACCAAGCAAGCTTCTTGTACTCCAAAAGTGAATGCACAAAGCATGGGACCAGGACCAGCCGTATCCTGCAGAGATGGGGCATCCCCTACAAGCACAGCATGTGTGGTACCTCAGGCTACAGTTGGTCTGACAGCGCCAGACCCAAAGCAGGGCAGCAACCACATGACAGCTCCTTCAGTGCACTCCCAAGAAAACTAGCAGCTTCTAAGTGCTTTTACAGACCTGGAGGAATTACATCCATCTTGATCACACTGATGCTTTAAACTTCAGCTTCTCTCTGCAGCCAGAAGCACCAGCCCCAGAAAAGCATACACCTAAATCCCACGCTCACTTGCTTGTATGTCTAATAAACTAAAAGCATGAAAAACAAAACCCTAAGTCATTTCATCCTAATGGGTCTCTTCTCAGGCTTTTATGACCTCCCTGAATTTCTGTCTCTTGAACTGTGTTTTCCCTCATCAGCACCCAGCCTGAGAGCAAAGTTTCTGGCAAAACTTATCCATGTCCAGCTCAGTCATTTCCCAGACAAAAACCACAAGGAATATATCTTGTCATTACTAACTGCACTCCATATATCTTTCTAAGGACTGTTGCACCTTGCCAGCATCAGCAAGAAATTTAAAGCTTCACAGGGATGGGTCCCCTACTTAGAACCAAAGTGCTCTTCAGGAAGTGAGGTGCGATTTTAGAGCTAATTTTGCCCTTAACTGAATTTCTCAATACCTGCATTTTTCTCATTGCTGTTCAACTTTATATTGGTCCATTACACAGACCTCTGTGCTTAAGATGAATGAACACACACAATTAACAGAAATCTGTGTGAGAAAGACCATCTGCAGGGACAGGGGTGAAACAGGGCAGGGGGCAGACACTGTAGAAGCTACTGGCTATTCCCTTCGCACTGCATTCATAATCAATAGCACCTTTATATGTGTGCACCAAAATCAGCAGCATTTCAAAAAGAAAAGCCAGCGCAATGACTACAGTACAAACCATCCCAGTGATGCGGATTTTAAAAATGCAGGGGGGAGACACAGTAAGTACTCACCAAAAGGGTGATGACACCATAAGAAACCAACTGGTGCATAGCTCAGAGGTCACCATGTAGCACTCGGCACTGCCTATGAGACTGAATGCTCTGCCTTGTCACACTTGTTTTCTTTCTGCCCAGCGATTGCGTGGATACAGCAAGGAGCAGCACAAGTATTCGCTCAGAGGCACTAAGCCAATTCACCCCTGTGTTTAGCTGCAGGGTACAAACTTCTGAGTTTTTGTGAGCGGGTGAGAGGTAGCACAGAGCATACCCTGTAGCTGCACAGATTGACTGGCTTTCACAGTTCCTCCCAACACAGAAAAAGGGAGAAAAGGGATTGTATCTTAGGGAGGAGGGCACAGACTGTCTGCTGGGGGTCCCCAAATGCCAGCTCTGCACCTGTCCTGAAGGATGGCAGCCACCCCAGTGCAGCACATCTCCTCACAAAGTAAAAAGAGATACCGCAGAATTAACATTCAGAGTCACTATGAAACCCAGGGAGTGAAAAGGGTTAGGTACTTACTTTTCTATAGCAGAAACGTGCTTTGTCTCAAACTTCCCTTTGGTGAGAAGCTCAGGGGTGATTCTCCCCTCAAAGAGCAGCCCCTCCTTGGCCATCTTCACCAGGATGAGCCTTACCAGCTCCCCCATGTAGAGCCCACTTACCATCTTCTCAAACCTGTGGGAGAGGATAGCAGCAGTCACCCACCAATCCCCAGGCAACACTGGGAGGCAGAGCCCAGCTGTGCCACCACACTGCCCAGCCCAGCCTGCTGTTTGCTTCACCACAAAAGTTGAACTTTCTTGAACTGCTGAATTCATAACACAAGTGGAAGAGGGACCATGGAGTGGAGAACAAAAGAAACTAAGCTCACAAATTACTGTCTCACTCACAGCTGCTTCCCAGGATTAAGCGATCCACGGTCAATCTCTCGATCAAACTCAGTCCTGATGTCTTCTAGCGAGCCATCATCTCCAAAGGCCCCCCATTCTGTGTTAATGCACATTCTGCCTTCATCTCCCTCCACTAGGTCAATGTGCCTCATTTCCTCCATGTAACAGGCATTGGTCCCAGTGCCTTTAGGGAAAGGACATCAGAAAGTGATAAACAGGCCACACAAAGAGAGAAAAGCCACATGCATGCTGCAGAAGCAAAGTGCATTACCAATGATTAAGCCAACTTCGCAACGCTGGTCATCAAAACCACAAGTCATCATAGTCCCAACAGTGTCATTCACAACAGCCATGATATCTGCATCGTAGTCCTGAGAGAGGAACAAAATGTTACTTGGACCAAATGGCTTCTCTGAAAAACAGTGCTTGGTTTATCACTGGTTTGCTTGTATCAGCTAATTTCACAAGGAACACAAGACAGTCTGTCTGAATACCTCAGCTCATCTTTTTAAATATCATCTGCTCCGTCTGCCAGTTTCCTGTCCCACATACCCAAGAAGACAATGACAGCAGACAAATGCACCAAGCACACAATAAAAGAGCACCAGCTAATTTTAGAGAGCAAAGACCCTTAGGCAGAAAAGAAATCAGCTATACATGAAGGAGGGAGAAACTCTGCAATTAAACATCATGGAGTAATATGATGCAGTTGTTTGAGGAGTCAATCTAGAAAATATTCTCAAGTTACGTATTTCTCATAGAATTCACTTAAAACATTTAGGAGTTTTATTTCAAGTGAAGATTTTGACACAAAATTACAAGCAAATAATGCAATTAAATAAGTTACCCAAATGACATTCACTCATTCCTTTCCAGCTCTTCAGTGCATTATTCTTCCTGATACCAAGTCTGATGATAGTAACTGACTATAGTAATGTTGCCCAGTGACAGTAAAACTCAGGTTTGCTTAAGAGTCCACAACTGCCCAAATAGAGCAAATACTGCCCAGTGCCTGATGAATTTGGATGCTGAATAATCAGCTTATCACCTGGCTGCAAGCATTATGCAAACCCAAATTAATTCCATCTCACACGCAGTGCCTTTTTGTTTAAATCAGCAGCTGGGTCACCTTCACCCTCTATAAAATCAGCAGCCAGAAACTGCAGGGAGCAATGCAGCTCACTGAGCCTGAAATTCCCCTTCCCTTCCACTCTGCTCCTCTGCTGCTCCCAACCAAGCTGCTGCACAACACAACTGAACGCAGACCATGAGATGCAGTTTCTCAGGAATGGGACTTGCCGGTATCACTGAAAAGCTGTGGCACTGACACGCAGACTTTCTCCGTTTTTGGAGAGCGATAAAATTGTGGAAGGTTGTCAGCAACAAATCGCAACATAGCGCCTCAGTTTTGTGCTATAAAATCACAGCTTCCACACAGCAACTCTGACATCATTCTCCCAACAAATGGCAAAACCACGTATCTTCACACAAGAAAGCAGAGCTACTCCATCACTCAGATCACATGCTCAAGTCACTGATGTGAAGGACACAGAAACTTCAGCTTGCTGTGATACAGAGCTAAAAAGCATAAAGTACAATTTACCCCACGTTTCTTGATGGCTCTGTTAAGCAGCCTCACAACATCTGCTCCCTCCACTCCACTTGCTTTGAAGCGCTTTGTCCAGGTTATCAGAATACCCTGATAAAACAAGAGAGCAATACTCAACAGGATGCCACCATAAGACACAAATTGATATTTTTTCCTTAAAACCAAGATTTTATACTTCAAATACACCTTCAGGTCTCTTTTCTTATATGACCTAGCAACTCAACTTGCGACACTTGGTGGTCTTTGATTCTCTTTACAGTAAACTCAAAGCTAGGAAACTGTTTTCCTCTCCCTTGCTAGAAAATGGTTTGTTTGCATTTTGTATTTTCAGCCCACTCTTATCCTTGTTGTTCCTTGACAGTTTTTCTTGGAAAACCATGTAATCCTTTCAGTCCATGGAAATCGACTGCTTTCAAAAAAGCTGACTGCATGGAACTAACTGAAAGGATATGATGTTTGTATGTCCAGGACTCGGCTGCAGCAAAGATCAGACTGCTGCAAATTTGCTGCCTGAAGTCCCAGCTGTCCAGGCTTGTTTCACTGTGAGCTCATGTTTACAGGTTAGGGCAAATGGAAATACTGGAAAGGTAGCAATGCAATGCATGGCCCTGACTTACAGCATGGATCAAAAAGGGAATCCTGGCATTGAATTCCTTGTCTGCAAACTATCATACAGAGTCTGCATGTGCCTCAAGGTAATGACTGCACCTGAATTTTTTCTTTTTAGATAATGCCTGGCTGATTCAGAGCATTTCGTATATGAGTAAATAATAATAAAAGGAAATAAAAAAGCATTGACAGTAGTTAACTCTACAACTCAAATCAGCTCAGCTATTCACACCCATCAAAAAAAATCACATCTATCACAACAGGAGTCCAAGAAGCTAAGAACCAGAAAAGCTGAAGCTTATAGGCACAAGAAGCCACTGCCCAGGTGCACATTTGCCCACATCTCAGCTTAAAAATCAATCACGCGTCTTGTGCACATTCTCCTTCCCAATAGGGGACAGAAGGGTCAGGGCAGCTCTTTCCAGGCCAGGAGGTATTTGTCCTACCACTAAACCACAAACTCAGTTCGTGCAAGTTTTGCCACTGTGCTGCCCTCATTAGCATTATTTAGAAACCCAGCCCCATGATGCTGCACAGGCAAACCATGGGCAAAGCCCAGTCTGCGGGCACAGCTTTACAGCTTTAATGACCAAAAGGGCCCCTTGTTCCATGTAAGTTTTATCATTCAGGAAACTGGTCAAACCACAGTGACAAAGAGCAGCTCCTTTTAGCATGACCAGCTGCTCTGCTGGAAGGATCTTTTGCCTCACCAGCAAGACTTTGGCAGCAGGAAGGAGCCCTTGGAGTGAAGCAGGGTTGAACAAAACACAACCACGCAGTGCCATCTTGTCACCCTTGGAGAAAACAGGGACCACCCTGCCTCCTCCTGCTCAACAAGCACAAGAAAACAGCAGCCAGGCAAGCACAGCCTCACAGAAGCAGCAATTCAGGAAAAGATTTGGCCTACAGGGTTCAGGAAAATGCCTTTTCAAATGTAAAAAAAAAAAAAAAAAATCACAAAAACTCTCAAAAGAGTTTCCTTGTTTGTTTGCCTTTTTTTTCTTTTTTTTTTTTTTTTTAATTGAGACTCTTACTATCTTCCTCCACTCTGCTATGGCTCATCTCCAAGTCTCTACAGGTATCCATCCCCAAGCCACCCCACATGCTACCTACCTGTCCCTGCTGCAGACAAGCATGATTTCATCCCAGGTGGCTTGAGCAAACCAGCCCGCAAACAGGCAACTTTCATCACGCAGCTAAACAAATTTTCTCAAGGGCAACTCAACTTCACAACCACATCTCCAGCATGACTCTGCTGCGGTCAGTAGCCTGAGCCCTACCATCCACCATGGACAGACTGGAGAGCTGCACCAAAGTCAACTCATCTTTCCTGAACTGATGCACAAAAAGGCAGTGCTCTGTTCTCAACTATGTTCAGACCCTGACTTAGTAAGCACCCTTGGTTTCAGCTCAGCATAGCTCAAGAAATGAGAAATGTAATAAAACTTGTGCCTCACCTAGCTCTCCTCAGCACCAACATCTGGGGAGCTGTTGCACCAGGCTAACCTAGAGACCTGCAAGCTAGAAAAGCAGGTCGTGTTTTAACAGAATAACCTCTTCACTTTTTGTGTGGATTTAACTTTTCTCCATTAATTTGCTACATCGTTGACATAGCAATGCTGTACCAGGAGGCTGCTGAGTCATTTGTGGTACAATGAGCAAAGAAGGAAAATACCATAGCATCCTTGTAATGGGAATCCCATCAGTCACCGAATACAACACTAGTTATTTCCAGTCTTTTTTAAAGCACATTGCTTCCAGGTGGCCTGCCCAGTGCACTTGTGAAGTTCGGCAAACTCTCAGCAAACACTGCTGTGCTGGGTCCTTCCCAGTCACACCCGATGGAGGGGTGAAAAGGTTGCACAGGAGGCAGGAAAAAACTGTTGTTGTGTTTACATGGTAAACCGTTAATACTGAGGAGCTCACACAGAGGTGATACAAAAAATCAGATGCCTCTCCATCAGCTGTTAACCAGATCTTTTAGACAGAAACATAAACACAAACATGAAGTCTGACAGTGAAATATAACACTCATTTATTCTGAAAATGAGACTTGTCTGGGATACTGCTTTCATAGCAGTGTTTTAATAACACAGTAGCTCTTCTGCATATTAATAAAATTGTGAAATCTTCTTACCTCATCTAGCTTGGATTGTCGACAGGGGAAAGAAAATGTAAACCCAACTGGTAATTTCTTGTCTTTGATTTGTTGTTTCTCCATGAAGTCACCCAAGCATTCAGCAACATGATCAAAAAGCTGTAAGAAAAGTACAAAACCACCACGATTAGACATACAGTTTCAGGGAAAATATATTTTGAACTGCATATAAAAACTGTACTGGGTGACGGGAAAGGGGAAAATAGCTGCTCCAAATTGTCAAAGATATATAAATGACGTATCTACGAAAATACTCTCAGGCAGTGTATATTAACACCTTAATGATTAATAAATTATGAAATACATTGTCCTTTTATGCACCTAATTCTGCATGGCATCTTTTATACCTGCATAAAAATGCTTTTCCTGAAACAAGGGGCATGTGGCTCTTGAGCCTGCCATAAACCTTCCATCTAACATTCTGTGAGAACAGAACAGTTCTTTTAACCTTTCAATAAGAGGAAGGAACACCTGAAAAGAACATTTGGGATCCAGTCCCACAGGAGGTTGATCACTTTTACAGAAACGCAGAGAAGACTACATCTGCTTCATTCAAGCAATGCTGAGATTGGAGAACCCAGCACTATGCAGGAGCCACACAAAAGGACATCACCTCTCAAAGCTATTCCTAAAGCACACAACAAAGAAACGAAAAGGAAGCCCAGGGGATTTGTGTTAGTATTCTACATGTTCTGAGAAACAACCCAAAATGGGAACCATTTTCTGCATTTTTTTAAATGCTAATTACACAGGCAGCCTGCAGCAAGCTCACAGGTGCCAATTCCCACCCAGACGTACCCTGTGACAACAGCACTATGTGTCCCTGCCAACCAGGCCAGGAGCCAGGCATGACAGGGAGTATGTGGACACGAAGGCAAGGGATGTCTCTCACACCGAGGTCTTTGGAAAGACGCTCAGGTAAATCGCAACACTCAAAGCTGCAATCAAGCCTTAGCAACCGAAGCAACAAAAATACACATTTGTATCTACCAGTACAAAAATGCCAGACATGCCTTGAACTGACACATACAACAAATGAATGTCAAACTACTAACAAGTCACTGCTTGCCCCAAAAGATAACTGTGCTGCTCATTTTAACTCCCTGAAAAAGAACCCCCAAAACAACAAACAAAACCAACACAACCTTCTCTGCAGCACTGGTGGGATGAGGCTAGGGAAAATGCCCAGAGGACTGGGGATAACTGGGAGGGAGTATAATAAGATATCTATGGATTATAATTAGCCTGCGCAGCTTTATTAGGAACAATTTACAGTCTCAGAGATATGGGAAAGCATTAGACATGCTGCAAAAATTACAAAAAATGAAGAGGAATATTTTGCCATTCAAAGCAGGTCAAGAAGTGATATGTGTAATGTTACAAGTAAAGCCATTCCTAAAATGAGGTCAGATTTGTTTATGCATAAACGGAGTAGTTTCCCCTTGTCCTGGGCAAATCATGGACATTTTTCTGAGCACACACAGCAAAACAGCATGGGAAAATAATGTGAGACTATTTTTAGCTGTCCAAATGAGGGAGAGAGGTAAAGGAGCTATGAAAAGAACTATAGTTGAGTAATAAAATACAACAACTTCTCCAGGAGGAACACAAAAATAACAGGAGTATATGTTTTTATTATGCTTTCCATCTGAAAGTATCTTGCTAAATACTCAATCCTACTGAACTTTCAGCTCCTCTCAAGACTACAAACAACAACCAGGGGCCAACCTCAAACCCCTCAGGAACTCAGGGAACAAGAAACTGAAATATTGACAGTGGATGTTAACAAAAATCACTCTTATGCAATGAGCCATGACTGCATACAGAAGAGCTGGGATGTGCTTTTGAAGTCCAACTGCAGAAGATCCCTGGGTATTCCCACAGCAGTCTGGGACGTCCATGCACCTTCTGGTGTTCGCAGTCCCAGCGCGACCTGCAGAAGCTCGCCTCCGTGAGTTAGCGTGCATGCTTGCTGCAAGCAATGCACTGTCAGTCACCAGGGCTCTGGGCTGGCAGTGGGGCGTGTGAGCATAACCCATGCCACAACCTGTACAGGCAGTTAACTATTAGCCACATTCTACAGTAGCAGTGCGTAGTCAATAATGCATGGTCTGGCTGGGCTACTGTTTTCAGTAAAAGCACAGAGGGAAGACACTGCTCAAAAGGAGAAAATGTACAAAAAAAAAAAGAAAAAAAAGAGAGGGGCATTTATTAATTTTGCTACCACTGATGGTCGTAAGATTTTTCATTAGGAGATTCAAGGAAGCATTGCATGTGCCTGTGCCATATTAACATCCAAATCTCACAGATGTCAAACAACTCCAACAGGACACTAGAGGCAAAAAGTTCCTGTGTATTTCATTAAAGTAGGGCAGGCAGATTGATGAAAAATCCAAATTCCCATCCACCCACAGGTGTGTGGAAGGAACAGTGTGAGGCCAATATTTTATCAAATGTCAGAGACAGAGCAAACACCAGAGCCAAGAGGAAAGGACCAGTCATATTTTACACCTTTGTAGACCTGAAGCGATACAACCATGAGATGGCTGAGCAATATGATATCAAGCTTCATTAACTTCCTCTGGTCACAAAGCTACCTGCTCAGGCTGGGCTCCAAGAAGTCTCCACAAGGATGCATTTGGCTGACAGCCATCAGACTTTGGCAAGCAACTGAAGATCTGAGCTCAAGCCCCTGAAAGGGGAAGATTTAAGGAGCAACAAAAACACATCTTTGGATCAGGGAACAGCCACAAATCCATAACCTACCTCCAGTGGTGGCAGAACACAAAAAACAACAGCAAAATCAACCCTCAGGCATGCTCCCATTTGCTGAGTTGACACAGAACACAGGCTTCTTACAAATTTTAGACCTGCTATTGCACTGCTGAAGTCAATGAGAGTTTTGTCCTTGGTTTTGACAGGGAACTGTCTCCAACTGGCAAGGGTGTCAGCCCATTCCTGACAGATGGGCAGAAATAGAAGTTTGAATGCAGTGGAGTAGAAAATATCAAAATGAACCATGCTAGTGAGGCATGAAGCCATAAATCACAACCCCTTCAGTAAGCTGATTATGTCTTAGGCTTTAAGACTACTCAGTTACTCACTGAAGTTAATGACACAGCTTGCAGAAAACATATTAGTAACCTACCCAGTGTGGGCAGTTCAGTCCAAGTGTTCCACTTAATCTGGCTCAGGGATTTCACAGAACCTCAACTGTACGCATCAGTCATAAGCATCAAATCATCACCTGCCTGTGTACCTCCTGGGCATCCACCACGCTTCCCTGTAAACTCTCACAGCAAGCGTTTTAGTCATGGTTGGATATCGTCATGAGATAACTTCGAACCGGATGGAATTCTGATGATACCTCCAGTTCTCCTTTTCCTGCTACTTAAATACTGGGAGTCACTGTCCCCCCAGGGTCAGTGGATGCCTTGCTCACCTCTCTTTCAGTTTAAGAAGTATAACAAAGCCTATCAGTCTGAGCTACACATTGGTGATTCCACCACACACACACACACCTGCCCCTGACAGCCAAATGGCCTTAGGATATTTAAAAATTACAACATAAACATGACAAAGCCACAGAAAGAATGAAGACCTGATGTCTCCTTTCCTGGCTTCTCCTTACCATCTTTATCATGTCTTCACCAAGTCTCACCTTAAGTCAACCTGCCTTTCCTCCCTGGACAGCCCCCAGGTATGTGGGTAGCCCTGGTGCTTGCCTCTCTGGCTCCCAAAATCCCTTGATGGATGAGCAACCCCTGCTCCAAACCTGCCTCCTGACTTCTCTGCCTCCACCAGCAACAGGCAGCTCAGCTCCCGTCCAACACCGTTTTGTGGAAAAGCCACTGTGCAACCTTTTGTCCAAAAAGCAAAGTAGTAATGTTACAAGACAGGAATTTATTGCTGTGTTTCAGATATGACAACAATCCTTGTATCGGTGCTACTTACAAGCTGTGACTGCCATCTTATACTCACTGCTGCATAGGAATGCAGCAGCAGTTATTACACATATTAAAGTTACTAAGGTTTCTACAGAAAACATATTAAGGATAGAAATGCTCTTTTGCACAATTTTTCTTTTTTTTTCCTCTTTCATTTAGCCTTTAGAAACAAGCTATAAATTTCCTGCAGAACTCATACTCCATAATAGCACCCCGTTCTAGTAAAAAAGTGTAAAAAACTTTACCGTTTTCAATGCTGAAAACAACCTGTTTTGTTTTACAAAACACAGAGACAAATCTGTCAGTAAAATATTCATTGTAATCCATTTTCTGATCATAAAGAGAAAATAAATTCTTCTAAAGAACCTTCTAAAATTCCAAGTAAGCGGACCCAAACATTTTCTACCTTCGAACATGAGAGACTAAAAAAAACCCCTACCATTTATTCAGCAAAAAATGAAGTTGTGCCAAAACATTCTATCAGCTTCCTGTAATTTTTTTCTAATATACCTGTACTTTTCATGAATGCCAAGTTGCTCAGACTGCCAAGACAGATATGTGGCTGTCATTGGTATTTCTATCCCTCACCTAACACTACAGTTGCAGAGTTGGTCATGCTTGTTGCTTACAAAGACTAAGCTGCTTTCCTGCCCTCCTTTCCTACCTGTGGAAATTGATTTTTATAGTAAAGTCAGAGGTTTTATTTCTAGGCCATTTTTTCCCTAACTCAGCCAAAAATCTCCCATATGATGACAGCAGATTTGCACTACCCATACATGCTCTATTACACTAACTACTGCTTATTTATTTTCAGTATTGACAAAGAGCTGTAGTCAAGTCTGCGCATGCTGTAGGTGCAACTGTTAAGATGCTATGGTCATTCTGGTAGTGTTTTTCTAAAATGGCAGTGTGAAAGCAGCTAATCTTTAGAGACATCCTAAGGAAGAGGTGCTTACCCGTGTTCCACTGCCGTGCATGATATCTTCAGGTGTATTATAAATTTCACTTTCCATTTGTACTGTCTGCTTTTTTTCATGCGACACCTTCACCCGCAGAATTCGGAAATAAGAACCACCAAGATCCAGTGCAATGAAATCTCCTTTCTCTACATGAAAACAAGACACAAGTGATTAAAAACTGCAGGCAACACAAATCTGGGAAACATCAAGCTTGGTTAAATATAACGCACAGGCAAATGTCCAGTGCCCACAAAGAGGAAGTTCTAGCTGCAGGGTGTCCACATGATGCATCAATCTGATTCCCTACAATTTAACATGAAGTTGGTACAGACAACTGTAATGAGGGTTTCACAGAATCATAGACTAGTCTGGGTTGTAAGGGACCTTAAAGTTCATTTAGTTTCAACCTCTCCACCATGGGCAGGGACACCTTTCACTAGACCAGGTTGCTCAAAGCCCCATCCAGCCTGGCCTTGAACACAGTCTGGGATGGGGCATCCACAACTTCTCCAGACAACCTGTGCCAGTGTTTCACCACCCTCTTAGTAAAGAATTTCTTCCTAATCTAAATCTACTCTCTTCCAGTTTAAAACTACCCACCCTTGCCCTGTCACTACATGCCCCTGTAAAAAGACCTTCTCCAGAATGGACTAACAGTGGACTGTCTGTATCCAGATCTCATGATGAAGCTTACCAGGGCAAAGAAACCCTAAAAGATGTTGAAAATAGAGACAGTAAAATGAAGGGATGCCAGACCACTAATGAGCAGTCTTTTGCTGTAAACAAACGTGTGTCATTTTGGCAAATAACAGTGAATGGTGGCTGGATTGTGCACTGCTGTAAAATCAACAAATTACACACGGATGTAGTTAAAGTAGGAACCACTTAATTCACACCAGGAAGCTGAGATTCACTGCAAACTGCAGTCAAGACATCAGAAGTCAGAGAAACAGTTTGAAAAAGTATAGGGTGTCCCTGTACTGCTGCAGGAGTTGCGATCCCTTGCACAGAGCTGCTAAATACCTCCCCAGAAACCAGGGAAAGTTAGGATACCTTCATCTGTGGTGGAGAGGGATTTGGATTTCAAAGGTCTGAAGCCAAATCCACTACCCTACCACCTCCACAAACCTCAGCCAACACAGACGCATGGCCAGGCTACCTGAGGAATGACACCTTCAGCATGCATTGGAGAGCAAGGCAAACATATTTGACTGAACTGCTTGTGCTATCTCACCTTATCTAAGTGGGAGCAAACACAGCAATCATTAAAGTCTGTGAAAAGATAATATTTGGGGAAGCAGTGTGCACAACTCGTCACACAGGAGAGTGTGTCCAGGTTAATCAACAAGGCTCTTTGCAAGCATTTATGTCTGTACATGGCAACCCCAGGCTCCCCGAGGCTGCTCAAAGGGCAGTGAAGCAGAGGAACATGGTACTTTCTCATCTTGGTTTCCTCATCAATTTGTACTTTTCTGCAGTGTCAGAAGTGCCCCATGTCATGACAGGATCAGCTGCACCCCCATCCTGCACCCTGATGCATATTGCCAGTCCCATCCTGTGGAGCAATTTGGCCTCTTTTCATTCTGCCTTCTGAATTTGAACTAGGACTTTGGGAAGGTCATTCTCAACATCACTGTTTTTCCACTTCTGCTTACACTCAATGTGGAAAGACTACTAGCAGTTGGGAAGATAGTACCTTGTGTTGTGTTACCTCAAACTGCGACTCTGGTCTCAGAGCCTCCTGACCTGACCTGACGCTGTCACTAAAATATCATGTATGCAATTTACCCACAAGGAGTTCCAGACCCAGATTTCCCTCTGAGATTACTCTGCCAAATCTCAGATCAACACTTCTAAAGTTTTATTTAGTGAGCTGCTCCTTCCTCTTCATGATACCATGTACCTCCAGGAGCCCCATCAAGCTCAGCAACGTTGATGAGCTGGATGAGACACCCCTCAGGGCAGGAGCTCTATAAGAAACAGCTTAAGAGAGTCAAAGACACAGCAAAAGCCCATATGCTTTTCCAGGGTTGCAGTGTAGTATAGAAACAGAACGCTGTCATGCGAGAAACCACAATGACAATAAGCTACATACAGAAAAACATAGCAAAATGACAGTGGAAGCCCACAACTCCTAATAATCCTCCTGATTTTACTGCATTGCAATGCAACTTTTCCTTCTTGCTGCTTAAGACATGGGCAGACTCAGCTTGCAGAAATACAGATCTTGCAGCACTTCTCTACCCGTTTTTGAACAGCTTGGCTTTAAACATCACTTTGCCCCAGTAAAAATGTCATTTAAAACATTAATATATCCAAACTGTAGGCCCAGTTCCATTTATTGGGTTCAGCATAATAAATTCAGTAACTCATAACCCCTTTCACTGCAACAAGACTAGAAGTCAAACATTTACAAGTGCCTCATTAAGCCAAATATCCAAATAAGCTTTATCATATGAGTATCATTTGCTGAATGCAAGCCATTACCTCCAATAAATAATGGAAAAATCAACACTGGACCAGATGGCCCTTACACCTTAGTACATACCTCAAGCAAATACTGCACTTCATATAGAAGTATCTTCCCTGGCAGTAAATTAACAAATTAGCATGTTTGATTTCCAGCACCATCAAGCTTATCACAAGGTAAAATTTATTAAGCATTATTAACCTTTTCAGTTAAAAAGAAAAAAGAACTCTGAACTAGGCAAAGTAGTAGCCTTCTTTCAGTGTACTTCAGGAATTAAAACCCATGTAGCAGCATTTAATCTATGCTTTTTAACACCAAGGTGCAATCAAACCTGCTGTAAATCTATTTAGGAACATCCTTCAAAAGCATTTTGAATTAGTTTGAAATACTATCCTGAGCCCTCTGGACAAAAAAACCTTGTGGCTTTTGTAAATTAAGCAACTCTGAATGAAGCAAAAAGCCCTGCTAACACCAACATCTCCAGAGTCCCCAAAATTATCACTCAAAAGCTCCTTGTTAATAAAGTACACAAGCACTGATCTGAAAATAAACAACAATATTTTTCTGAATAGTCAGCTCTCATAATAATAATCAGACTCAGAGGAAAGAGCTTACAAGGCAGTAATTAGAGACAGGCCAGAGAAGAGGGCAGGCTTTCAGCCTCTGTCTTTTACAGAGGAACAGCTGAAGGCAGAAACTGCCATCAGCCGGGAGCCAACCCCACACTTAGGGCACAGCAATATGGACATATCCGTGAGGGCCTCCCAGAGACTTTAGAAGGAAGAGGAAACAGGATTCTGCATCTGCCCTGGCTTCATCTATGTGATGGCTGAGCCAGATATGGCAGGCACGTGGAGGTGAGTCACAGAAAGAAATACCATGACACCTACCCACAGCAAATATTGCTCACACCTAGGATCAGAACATGCCCTTTCTGGGAAATAATTCAATGGTTTTGCCTGCATTTCTAACAGCTATCCAAATAGACACTCACAACCTGCGTATACAGATTACTATCATGTTATACAGAAATTGTCTGGGGCAAAGCACTGCCTTGGTCTAATCCATGCTGCGACATTCACTGCCCATAGTCCTGGAGGGGCCATCAGGAGACACATGGGCACAGGATCAAGAACTGAGCACCCTGTACACAATACACGAGGTTGCTTTTTTAAGGAGGTGCGTAATACATGATCTGAAATTAATGCCTTGACATACAGACATGCTTACACTCAACGAGGGCTACCCACTGCTCTGGCTCATGTTCAGTCCCAGCAGCACTAAGCAATCTCTCACACCTCTCCCCTTTTCCCTTTGTGCCATACTGCATCTTGAAGTCTCTCCAGTTTGTGCCATGGAGCAATTTGCAAACGTATTTGGCTCACTGCAAGCAGCCCAGATTTACTAACCTGCAGTGCCTTGGCAGAAGAGGGTACTGGAGACGGGTCTATACTCAGCTCAACTCAGAACACATATGAAGAAAAATATAGGGATTTTGGAGTTGGTAAAAACACTGGGATTCTACAAAAAAAAACTTAAGTCACCTCACACCTGCAAACCCTTAGAGCAAGCCCTGCCTGTGACCCAGCTGTGTGTGGCAGCTTCTGGCTTTCTCAACAGGCTCCAAATTTCAACACATTTCAACATAACAACCAGCAGTGCTAATTTAAGGGAAACACAGGATTCAAGTTTGGTTTTGGTTTTGTTTTTTTTTTTATAAGAGGGTATAAACATTTCAACTAAAAAGCTTAAGGTGGCAGAAAGCAACAGTGAAGCAGAACTATCAATGATTTCCCCTGCCGGAGAGCACCAAATAATACAAAGCACCAGGCTTCATGTTCTTTCACCCAACAAATTCTTGATTTTAACTCAGAAAAAGCCTCAAAACAGGTAATCGTATTATGCAATTGTGCAATTTCTGCACACAGGGGCTTAATTTGTGCTAGGTACCAAACTAGTTACCAATGCATGCTACACGAGAAAGAAATCTAGTATTACCACTAAATAATAAACGCTATTATATACTGTTAATAAATATATTTATATACCCTATATATAGTTGTTGGGGGGGTTGTTTGGTTTGTTTGTTTGGGTTTTGTTATAAGCACTAAAATATGTAATGGGGACAATCATGGTCTCAAATACCAACACAGCATGTTTTTGATTTCAGATAGCTCTTTGTGCCACTTTTATCAGGTACAGTGAGCATGAAAAAATAAGTCCTACACCTCAATGGAAAAGCTCAGTACACCAGAGCAGCAGCTTCTGAGCCACACACTGCACCTCCTTGAGTTCTGCAAGTCTTCCCCTTAGACCGTCTGCAAAAGGTAGCTACAAAAAGCAAAACAAATGCCAGGAAACTCAAATTCAGCATACAACAGTATTTTTTCCACTGGGAAAAAAATAAGAAGAGATGTTGAGTCAAAAAACAAATGACTAAAAGCCACTGCATTTGTCAAGACTCTAGGTCACATGAAACTGCATAAATCAAACATCTTCCTATGTGAAGTATTGATAGATGGCAGACAAATCTCAACATAAATAATACTCAATATAAATAAATATTAGTAGACTGATTAATAGGAAGGGCTCTTCCATTGGCATCAAAATGGGTTTGACACTGGATTCACAAAATCCTCCAGCATCTGTGGGAACTGACCTGCACACAGAAGGGAGGCTGCCTTTGAGGAGGTGCCAAGGCTTGGCAGAAAGCAAACTGCTCTTGTTCTTGGCAGTATTGGGGTATTTCTAACAGGTTTCCCATGAAGCACACCATCTTTAATACACAAAACAAATACTCAGCTCCTTACCTGAACCATCAGGAATGGACCTCACAAATGTAGGAAGCATCTTCACTGCAGCCGTTGGGTTAAAGTCTCTGGAGAGGCCATTCTTCATCTCTCTCCTGAAGCGAGCCATAACATCTATCAGCGTTTCATCAGAGAGTCGCATGGCATAAAGGTATTTGTCAATCTGGGGAAAACAAACAAACAAACAAAACCACCACAGAGTGAAAGACTGCCCTGAAGTGCCCATGGGGGGCTATATCTCTTTAATTGCAAGAATAGCATATAGGCCCAGCTTGGCCATGGAGCTCTGGCCAGGCTGCCAACACAGCCACACACTTCATGCCTTATCTTTTTGACTCAAAATCAGGAAAATGTGCAAGTGCTAGGACACATGTGAGCTGAAGTCCACCCCATCCTACTGTTTTCCCAAGGCAAGACCCAGTCCACGTCACGCTGCATCCTCCTTTCCACACAAACCCATTCACCCACAGCCTCACACCACAATCTCCAGCCTTCACACCACTTCTCAGCTCTCCTGACTGCCCATGAGCTAAACAGCTGAAGCTAAAAATCCCTCTTTTGGCACCTTGTCCCAGCTGGAGTGATGTGGGTGTCACTGTAGTTCACAGAGGTGTCTTGTATTTAAAGCTTTTCATGGTGAAGGACTTGTCACAGCAGCTTCAGGGCTACATCCTAGGCTGCAAAATTGTTTCTGTGTACCAGACCACTTTCCCTATCCCTGATAGGGATATCCACTGATATCCAAAGCTATCACAGCCAGAGAGTCAGAAGAGGCAGAACTTGGCTGTGAGCAGGTAGCGGCTTCCTCCTCAAGACAAAACATCAAATTAAAAGTTGTTGACTTCTCCCTTGTGGCTTCCCAAAACAGGAACTTTCTTCACCTCACTGGAAAAAGGAGGCTGCTTCAGTTTTCCAATAATACTGCCTTCTGTAACATTACACCCATCTTCAGCATCAGGAAGATTGAGAGATGCTTTGATGCTTCAAAAATACAACTTGGCCTTGGGGGATTCTTGCTAAATGCACATGTCCCACACCCCTTTCACCTCAGCTGACAGTCTATTCTTGCCTTGTTTCATTATCTGCCTTGGAAATTTGGTTCTGCAAACACCTCAGATCCAAGCCACACCTTTGGGATCACTTTCATTTGCAGCTTAGCAGGACCAAGAAAATAAAACCCTCCCATGCTTTCTATCCTCAGCAAAACTGGAAAAGCCACCTCATTTTAAACCCCAGGCCACCTCTGTGCCAAGGCTGCCTGTGTCTCCTTTGCTGCTCTGGAAGCATTTAGAGCAACTCATCCAATCTCTCCACTGGCATTGTGTCTTGCAGGGCCGATGCCACAATAAAACATGCCATGTGAAATGTATACATGCAATACTCCATATACTGAGGACTTTGAGAGAGAAAACAATGAATCATGTCATTTTCAAAGGAAATGCAGACAATCAAAATGTAATTAAACCCTAAACTGACCATAAAACCAGGGCAAATTTAATTGCTCCTGCATAAAGTACTTCTGTCACATGTACTCAAGGTCTGCACCAAAGATAGTGTACCTCCATGAGCCAGACGCCCTCCTACAGTGACCAAGCATTTACACAGACAAGGGAGAAAGATATGGATGCTGCTGCTGGGCACAGCTACCCAGCCTGATGCTGAACCACAGCAAGCCTGAGCCATGGGGCCAGAGCCAGAGGCTGCACAAGCTCTGATGTGTTCAGTGCCACTGCTTGCAGAGGCAGGGTAAAACAGCCATCAGATAGATGCTACAGGGAAGTTACAGTGCAACAATATGAAATGATACCATACATATGCTCCACAAACTGGTGAAGTAACAGTGCAGGCATACAGCTGAATGGCAGAAGAGCTGAGCCCAGGTTCTCTGCAACAGAGGCCAAATTTAAGACCCTGGAACAGCATCCCATCTGGGTCCCATGCCACCCCAAGGGCTGACAGCCCCCTCACAGAGACAACCACAGCCAGCCACTGGCATCATTTTGCTCCAAGAACAAAAACCTAATGGGACACACTCTTTCTTGCAGCCCCAAATGCTGTCTCAGCATTTGCAGAGGCTGGTCTCAGGCTGAGAAGGAAGGTCTCTCCTCCCTGGCAAACCCTACCATAGCTGGATTGCTTTTATTAGCAGAGTGTATTAAACCATGATGTCAGAGCATTAAGTTATTCCCTTTCTAAGGGGGGGGGGGGGGGGGAGAAGAGGGAAACCCTCTTATTAAGGCTGAGCTTTCAGCAGCCCACGCTGCTGCTCACAAGCCTGATTCCCCAAATCTCCCAGTGAAAGCTCAGTAACACATCATTCACACAGACTTCACTGTGTAACTAAAATACCCCTCTACACAGCCCCACTGCTGCATCCTCCTCTCAAAAACAGGGCTGAGGGATTTCCCCCCACAAAAAGCCCTGTAGTGAATGCAGGTTTTGGCATTTGCACAGTGAAGATCAGATAAGCCCATTCTTCACAGCTCTGCCCCTCCACTGCTGAGGGAAAAGAGGAGGGAGGGCTCTCTCGTCTTCTAATTTGAGTGAAAAACCAATGAGCACTGTCTGCGCCCTTACATAATTGGGGTGGACCCCCCTGCAGCAGGAAGCATCACCTCGCATTGCATCACGGTGCATCACATTGCGTTGCATCGCATCAAGGCCATCTTTACCGCTGAGACTCACGGGGTGGGGAGGCGGGGGAGATGGGAACTAAACCTCGGTTTGAAACAAAATCTCTCCCGTGTGTTGCAGTTTCCAAAACAAAAAACAAACAAACAAAAAAAAAAGGAAAAAAGAAAAAAAAAAGCATTATTTTTTTTCCCGGGCAGGAAAAGCGTCATTCTGGCAGTGAAGCTGCTAGGGAGAAAGCACTGCTCTCCTGTGCTGGCAGCACAGGCAGACCTCCAAGGGAAAACCCTCAGCAAACAGCCACAAATAACTGGGAGGGGGGTAACTGGAGGCTGGATTATGGGACGGAGGTTTAATAACTCCCTGCTTTGCCTGCAATAAAAGCCGATCAGAAAGCAAATCTCAGATTTATCCGAAGGGAAGCTGTGGGAGGGGCCAGCAGGGACAGAGATGGGAGCTGCCGGCAGCACCCAGCCAGACATGCAGCATCCCATGGCTGCAGCCCCGTGGGAGATGGGTGCCAGCCCTTCCCTGGGAATGGCAGAGAGCAGGAGTAATTTCAGTCAGGCAGTTGTGTGGGCAAGGAGCAGAAAACATTTCTCTATTTAGCTGCCATTTCAGAACCACCCCCCAGGAACGGCATCTTCCCAGAGTGCCACTACAGGAGCCCTCCAAAAATTCTACCCCTTTATTTTTTCTTCTTAAAAAAAACAGCCAGCCAGAACCTGTGGGCAAATTTTTTTGTAAATAGGATTTCATAATCCGAACCATATGTGTGTCACTTCTCTTGGTCTCATAGGGAAGATACTTTTTGCACTAGGGGAAAGTAAGTTTCTGAAAATCCAGCCATCGCAGCAGTCTCCACAAAAAGTTGTGAATAATTATAAGCACATAATGAAACAGGCAGCACTGAGGACCATTCCTTAAATGCATGCTTCATCCCCTGGACACTGACAACAGTCAAGAGTATCCAAGAAGAGAGCACTCCCACAACAGTTTCAGACATCATTAGCACCTAGTTTACTGACACAGCCTTTGCATGAAAAGGCTCTACCATGTAAACATTTTTCTGCAGAGTTAATCACACTCCATACTCCTTTCAGCATCAGGAAGATTCATCAGGAGCCAAGGCATGTTAAAACAAGTAGTTTAGACATCCTGAAGCAGGGTTACTTGTAATTTATCAGGTTGGTTCCTAAAAAGCCTTTATACTGGCAGGTTACCACTATGGAGCTTTTTCTGATGCCAGCTGCTACATTTTACACCCCATTCCATTATGTTCTTTTCACGGTTAAATGATATTTAAATATCATTCTTGAATTGCAAGACTTTTTTCTTCTCTCATCAGGTAATAAAACAAAAAGGTATTGTTCCCCTGACAAACAGAATTGAGGCAACACCTAGAGGATCCCTTTGCTGGGGCCAGCTACTGCAGGTATAAACCTGTTGGAAAAAGGTACTCTAAAACAGTTTTACAAAGGCTCTCCTGCACACAGACCAGTGGCACAGATACCAGAGATGCTTCATGGATGAGAGTCAGCCTTTTAGAGAAAGAGGGCCTCACTTTGGGTTGAGCAAAATCCACTGTCACAGCAAGGCTCCTGCTGATGCCGCTGAAGGATCAGAAACGTTCAGGGAAAAGATGTTTTCAAAAACATCTGGATAATTTATCCTGCTTGAGGTAAAACTACACCCGTATTTATACAGTACAGAACATTATGTGTTGGCTTGCTTCTGCACACTAGGGTTATGTGCAAGTGCTCATACACATGATTTCATTGGAAAATGCCCCCTTGCAGGGGCTGCAGGGTCACAGGGCTGCCAGCATGCAATGAACAACCAGCACCTTCGGCACTAAACATCCATCCTGCCTATTCCTCCTGCTGGCCACAACTCACCTTGAAAAATTATAGCACATAGAATGGTTTGGGTTGGAAGGGACCTCAAAGACCATCTAGCTCCAACCCCTGCACCATGGGCAGGGACACTTTCCCCTAGACCAGGCTGCTCAAAGCCCCACCCCTGAACACTTCCGTAAGTTTTCTGAGCAACCTGTTCCAGTGCCTCACTACCCTTCAAAGAACTCCTCCCTAATATCTCCTCTAATCTACCCTCTTTCAGTTTAAAGCCATCCCCCCTTGTCCTCTCACTATATGCCCTTGTTAAAAAGTCCCTCTCTAGATTTCTTGTAGGCCCCTCTAGGTACTGGAAGCTGCTTTAAGCTCCCCAGAACCTTCTTTTCTCCAGGCTGAACAAGCCCATCTCTGTCAGCCTGTCTCCATAGCAGAGGTGCTCCAGCCAGCTGCTCATTTTTTTGTTCCAGAAACTGCAAATTTGAAAAAAATTACCTCAAGCTTAAGGGGGGTGTAGAAACCCAGCAAAACCAGTATGGAAGCACTAGTTCTTAGACCCAGGGTGTCCTGACAGCCTGAAATCACCAGACTCCTCTGTGCCCCTCTGCAGGGTTCCTACCACAGAAAGGCAGCACCAAGCATAGTGCCATGCAGGAATGGGACACCCCCCCCCCCCCCCAAGAAAAAAAAAAAAGGAAACAGGATCCCAGAGGAAGAAGGATGTGCAGCCTTGGTGAAGACCCAGTAACATACAATCCTAAATTCACCTCACTGGTACTTGTAGCCCATTCACACCCCTCCTGTGACCCACAGCAGCATGCTCAAGGTGACCTCCAACCTGTGTCTCCGAATACTGAGCAGGCAGCTGCCATGGACCAGAGAGGCAGAGGAGTAGCCACTGTGGCCCAGAGCCCCATGGGGCAGAGTGGTGAGGGGGTAACACATTGGTCGGCAGCCCCCAGCCACAAGCACATACCAGCAGAAAGTGCTGCTCTTCCAGGAGCAGAGAGGAGAGGGAGGGACCCAAAATGAAGCCATTTAGGCACGTATTCCTGTAAGCAGCATGCTGTGATAGAGCACAAACCTCACAAGCAGCACCCTGAGACAGAGCCCCACAGGGAACCAGGGAGCAGAGCCCAGAGGCTCCCAGCGGCTGCAGTGCAGCAGAATTATGGGGCAGAGCCTCTGACTGCTGCAGAAACCCTCCATACAAGACAGCCAAAACTGAGGGGGCTCAATATCCGTTCCAAAAGGATATAAACAGGAAAAGATGTCTTACATCCTCCCAGACCAGTAGCCTGCTTGTTTTTGTTTGGGATTTTTTTTTTTCCAATTGGATTTTTGTTTTATTTTTCAGACAAAACCAGATTGATCCATAAGAACACTTTACAGTTCCCTGGCCAAACAATTCCCATGCTGTCAAACAATAGCAGCCCCATGGTGCCAAACCAGCCCGTAATAAATAACCCCCGGGAACACCACAGTTTTCCCCGTGCCTGCACACTCCCACCGCGCCTTCCCCACACAGCCTTTCTGCAGGTCCTCAGCCAGCACGCACCCTTGTGCTTATCCTGGGTTTCTAAATATAACAGGCACAGCGAGACAGAGAAGGCCTTACCCAGGCATGCACGCCTGGCACCAGCTGCAGCATCTACAAATCCTCCAGGAAAAGGAAAATAAGGGAAAAGGGAGAGCTACATATATGGGGCCAGAAGGTACAGAAAGCTACAGGCTGCGCAAAGCCTTCAGCTCCTCACAACAACCGCTGGGCATAAAAGCAAAAGACCTAAACCACAGAAGATGTGGAAAATATGAGGCGCTGCCCTGGGTTTTATCCAAGAGAGGAGTTGGCATGGATGAGCATGGCTGGAGTGAGGCGGGGGGGGGTCACCCACATACAGCAGCTGGGGTCTCCCTAGGCGCAGCCAGAAGCCCAAAGGAAGGAGATGTTCTCCTCCCGCCAGGCCAAGCCCTGAGACCACTACAAATCAGCCCTGCTAACGCTGACACTGAGGCATCCCCAAAATATGTTCGGGATGCCTTCAGCAGGTGCTCAGCCATGTGCCTAGGTGGGTCATGCAGCACTGCTGGAGGTGGCAGAGGGGAAGCCTCTGCTCCCTGACGTCATCCTGGCTCTGAGACAGACCTGGGTGATATTTGCAATTATTTTCCCAATTTGTGTCCCTGCATCCCTAGCCCCAGGCTCTCCACTCCCTACAGCACTGCAATGTGCTTAGCCAGGACCTAACTGCCATGTTTTTATTTATCCTGTGCTCTACACCCATTTCCTTGTGGCAGTGCTAAATCACAGGGCTACAACCGTACAGCTCTTAATGCTAAAGGAAAAGAAAAGCAGCCCATAGAAATACTGCTTCTTATTAAGCACAACTGACAACCACTTCCTGAAAATTCAGGACCTGCAGTGACACATAGTTCAAAAACTGCCTGCTCTTTGCCTTCGTCACCCCTGCTCTGGAGTGACAGATGCCCTCAGGCACCCTGGGGAAGAAGGGGAAGTCCCCTCTCCAGGAACGCTGGTGCCTTCTACAAACCCGAAAGGCCATCACCACCACCCTCTTTGCCAAAGCCCCCCAGCTCCTGCCTCGCTTTGCCGAGCTCCGTTTTCGCGGCCTGGCTCGCTGTGCATCACCCGCGCCAGGCAGCCTCCACACTGACCCCCCTGATCCGCTCTCCACCGGGGATGCTCTGGGGGGACCGTCTGGCTATGCTTAAAAAAGGGTTTATTCCCCTTTCTCCCACAGCACGGTCGCTACGGGCACAAAGCAACAAAACCAGCAGGAAAAAAAAAAATAAATAAAAATTTGTGCGGGGGGCAGCCCTCCCTCGCGGGGGTCAGTCTACCTTTTTGACCTGATCCTCCTTCAGCTCCGTGAAGTAGTAGGCCAGGAGTTGGGCGGCGATCATCCTGCCGGCTGCAGCAGGCGGCTCCGCGCACGCAGCGATGCGGCGCCCAGGGATGGCCGCGCTGCCGGAGCCGCAGCACCTCCCCTTCCTCCTCCTCATCGGGGCCGGCCCCGGCCCCGCCCGCAGCCCCCGCTCCCACAGCCGGGAGGCGCGAACCCCTCTCCGTGTTATTTGTGGCAGGCAGGGCCCGGAGGATGTGAGGAGGGCAATGCCCTGCCGTACCCCGAAGGGTCTTTCACAGCAGCCTTGGAGACAGGCTGCTGAAGGCTTCCCGCCGCTCCTTGAACTCTGCTGTGGTACGGGAAGAGTAAACTGAAAAGCAAAATACATAAATGAATGAATAAACAAATAAATTTAGGGAAAAAAAAAACAAAAACAAAAACCCCAATAATATTTCCAGAAGAGCCTCTGCGCTCAGAAACCATTGAGAAAATAGCAAAATGGTGGGAACCTCCACTAATACCAAACATCCCCACCCGGGTGTGATGCCTTCTCCCACAGTGAGCAGGACCCGGCCTGGATCCCCTAGGCTTCAGGCTGAGCTGCTATGAGACTTGCATGGACAGGGAGGGGATGTTTGGTATGTTTTGGAAGCAGGTAAGTGCTTTGACAGTTGTACTTTTGGGGACCTCATATTTCCATCAGCAAAATCCCCACATCAAATATACTGACAGACAGAACCTCTCCTCGCTGTGTGTGCTGCCCACATTTTAGCCACATTGAAGTGCATTCCGAAGGAGGCATCCACCACTGTGAAGCCTCTGAGGGCCCCCATGCACATAAGCAAAGCGACACAGTGCCCCTCCAAAAGCTGAAGGCCAAATGCAGATGGCCAAAGTGACACGTGTCAGCAGCTCGAAGGGCTTTTGCCTGAGGCCTTGTCAGTCCCTGTGGAACTTGTCAGTCCCAGGAACACATACCCATGCAAACACTGGTGATACTGGAGGCGTGATTTGCATAGAGATTGTCTACCAAAGTCTAAGTGAATAAAAACCTGTTTCTTGAATTTCCAGCCTCCTTTTCAGTGCCATTTCAAATGATTGCACTGGCCAAAATCAAGAGCTACTTTGGCAGACATATCCTCCTCTAGACTGCTCTAGCTGCTGCAGGCAGGGTGGACAGGATTTCCTACCCCACCTTACTGCATTAGATTTAAGCTCAGAGAGAATTTCATCAAGTGTTTCACTGATGTGCATGTGTTACTCCTGCTCGGTTTATTGGCAAGCTAATGAGCAAACACGCCTGCAGTCTCCGGCCTGCTTCAGTGCAGACTCACCAGCATCGCCATGCGACCAGGCACGGTTGGAGCTCGCAAGGGGCACAGGAACATGGGGCCGAGCACCATCATCCTGACAGCATCCAGCAACGTCACCCAGTCCCTTAGACAGGCTGATCAAGGTCTCACTCAATGGTAATTCACTGTTCAGCCACACTCATCCTCTTCTGCCAGTTAGAAACTAATTTTAATTCCCAGCCCTGGCTCACTCCTGTTTATACTTTGTCATCTGTTAAACCTTGTCCTTCAGCTGAAATTACTCTCCTCTGTCTCATATTCTATAAATACAGAGGAAAGTAACCATATACATCCTCACCTTTGCTTCACCAGGGAAGACAGACCTGGCTCTTTTTTGGTCTCCTTTCCCTGAGAAGCCAAGGCTGGTTTAGCAGCCTTTTTCCTCACTTGTTCCAGCCTGAACTCATCTCATTGAACAAGCAGCTTAAGTTGGGTAAGTTATTCCAGTGAAGGCAAAACCCATTGTGCTAACATTCACAGTTCTCCTACTGGAAATATGTCACCAATCCCCTTCCCATTAACAAGCACAAACCCTGAGGCTCCCAAGCTTGACTTGATTCCCCCATATCATCAGCCACCACTCCCAGGAGATGGCAGACCTTTCATCCCATGCAAAAAAAAATCCTCCTTGTTCCCATTTCCCCAGCATGGTAATGGCATCCTGGCTGCCAGAGATATCCTCATCAAAGAGCTGCTCTGCAGCAGCCCAAATAAAAATTTAGAAGCAAAAAGTCACTTTCTGCACATGTGCATTTATATTTGCCTTTTGTTGCTGTATGACCACCACCTGGCACTGCTCAATTCCCGCAGACTATATGTTACCTCCTGTAAACAGGAGGTTTACAAGCCCTACTTTCTATCCCCTCCAGCTCAGATACCTAAATACATGATATCCACACCCCCCCCCCCCAGTTACCTGCAGGAATGCTTACTCATTCAGCTAAAACACTTTGTCACAAGTTTAAGTGTTTTCAACTAATCTTTGACCAAAGAAAGCAATTCAGACCATCTCCTCTGGCTCTCAAGGAATCTGAATTAGCCACCTAAGAGTTTGGGAGGTCCAAAATACACAAAGTGGTTATGAATAAGAATGGTCTTCTCTTTAACATACCTGTCTTAGGAATGTGCAAACAGCTGCTGAACATGGTATTCAGGAAAAACAAACTCTACAACCTAAACACCATTAGAGAAAAAGTAACAGTCCATCCAAGGTAAAACAGCTGCTGTGTTAAAACATCTAATATTTTTAAACTGCTCCTTGCAAGGATAAGTAAGAGTGCATGACCAGCTTTGGTGCTGTAACCAGTGCCAGGATGAATAAGCTTTCCTCCTACCAGAGAGCTGGAAGGGCATCTAAATATCCCTATAGACACACAAACCATTTGCAAGCCCTCTTTGCGTTGCCAGGCCAGCAGTGATCACACAGGTGTTATTTTGGGGGGCCTGGGAGGAGCTGTGCACAGGCTGCCTGGAATGACCAACCAGCTCTTCATCTTTGCCTCTGCAACTCTTGCATGCTTCCTTACCATCTAGCCCTGGGTTTTCCCTTCTGCTTTACTGGAAGAGATCAATTCAGCAGCCAATTAATTACCAGCACCTAAGGTACACTGCCAGGCATCCAGCAGGCTGTTTTGAAAGCCACTGTCCTTTAAGACAAATTACTGGAGGCTGAACATGACACCCGATGACTTGCAGCTATTTTGATTGTGCTCTAATCATATTGTCCAGGTTTGACTGTACTGAATTATTTCAAATGACTGAAGTAATTCCATGCATCAGGTCTCCTGGATGCAGGTTTGTGTTTTTTTTCTGCTTTGCCCAGTTCTTCATTAAATGTTTACTGCTCTATACGAGTCTGCATTCAGATTTGACACCTATACAATGAGAGGATTTTGAGTTTAATCATGCCCATCACAGTTTTGATGTACACGGTTGCTATATGCTTTCTATTTTTGTAAGGAAACAATGAAGTTGTAGCTGTGTTTGTTGTTCTTTTTCTAAGTGTCTGGAAAATGATCCGTCCACTTTTCCTCACATTGCATTTTCCTGTCAAAATACTTAAAGCAAAGTGAAAGAAAGCAACATCTCTAAGAAACAAGTTCCCAATTCATGACAGCATCTGACTAAGAAGGGAATTTTTAAGTAGCCTTTGACGCTTCCATTCCAGGGTAGGAAACTACGTGTTTGCACAGAAATAATCATCATTCATTTGTGCTGAACATGGTGCAGAAGCTACTAAGAAAATCTAAAAACAGCAGAGATATTGATTTGATAAGCAATTCAACTGAACAAGGTTAAATGCATTATGCAATTTCACCTTGCCAGGAGGCACAGCAAGCAGACACTACCATACAGCCAGCCATGATGCTTTATCGCATATTTCCCCTATTAAGAAACAAGATGAGCTAGGAAGGCCTTGAGGGGAGCTTATTCCATGCACAGAAAAGGCCATGACACATGCAGATGGAGCTGTACACACATAGAAAGTGGTTTTTATGTTTCTGGCAGAGCACACAAGGCATATGTTTCCAAAAGATGAGCACTTTCCTTGGGAAACATGGAGCAAGGCACTGGATAAACAAAGAGCCAGGACAGGCTCAGCACATCTCACAGAGCTAACTACCACAGGTTTTGCCTCCATTCAAACACTGGCACAGCCTGAAGCCAGAGACTGCATGTGGCTGTCAGGCCCTGCTCCAGTACGTGTATTGAGAGAGAGGATGGCCACCACCAGTCCCAGGAAAGCAGGATCTTGCCCTCTGGTGACAAAGCTGAGGACTGCCAGTGCTAATAACTGGCTAACAGCTGTTTAGGTTTTTTTTTTTAATCAATAATTTTGGTTTATATTTATATTATACACTTTGTATACAAATAAATCTATTTTTCTGTATTATCAACATTATAATTTATAATTAAAATAATTTCATTAAGAAGGTAACAGCATTTTCCATGCCTGGCAGCATATCCAGATCATTGTGCAGTGTCACCTCCACACATATGCCACTGTTAGCACGCCACAGCAGCAATACACAGGTCTGTGCCCAGCCCCAATGCTGTCCTCACTGGGTCCCCAAGAGAGGGGACAGAGTGCAGAGCCCATGTGATATTGGGCAAAACACAAGAAATCATCCCTTATACTTCACCTCCTGCCTCAGTAGAGGGTTGCCACAATACCTAGTGTATTTTAGGCACCAAGACTAACGGGGACTTCTGACCTGTTTTGTTGGAGTTGCTCCAGAGGGAGAACAAGCTACTTTTTAACAAGTCCCTTTGGAGGGATTTTAGCACTGTTCACTGAGCTGAGCATTTCAGGGCCAAATGACACTACTCAGAGCTATGATTTTTCCAGACTTAAATCCCAGTGACCTCCAAAGACAAGGCAGTATTTCTGTAAGCTGTGTACTACACAACTAAGGATCACAAACAGCCATGTCTAGACTGTGGCCATGGTGAGAGGAGAGTGGAGAAGAAAGCAAATCCAGCAGAAGAGGAGCACTGTCTACTGGTTTGCACAGGAACAGAGACTCCTGGAGCAGATGGATATTCTCTGTTTCTCACCTCCTCACATCTGAACATCAGCAGATGTGGTGAGCTGAGACACTTTTTACTTTTATTTCTTTAAAGTATTTGCTGTTCTTCAGCATCAGACAGATGCAGAGAACATGACCCCCACAAAACCAAGAGACGTAAACCAGGAAGCATATAAACAGAAACCCAAACCCTATGATTTATAATAAAGTTCCACTATTTGGGAGGCCTGACTGAAGATTTCTTTTTAAAACTCTTGGTAATAGCAATCTTC